GTTTTACTGCACATAATGCAAATTAAGTTGTATGAATGCGTTTTAATGGACTATTATTGTAAAATACAGCTATATATGTATGGGATGACTCAGAGTATATTCCGCTTCATATTGCCGATAAAGCAACCGAGCTTTTATTTGGGAACATCAGTGCAGAAAATTAGTACAAGTCATATAAGTTCTTGACGAAGAATAGAATTTGAGAAGGTCACCGCCATTGTTGAGAGTCCTTTCATGGTTGAAGGTTTGCAGAAGAAAGCAATAGAGATGATGAAGAAGAATAAGAATTGAAGAAGAATATAAAATCGGGCTGCGCGCAGGCCTATTAATAGAACGGACTCACGTGAGTCCGTTCTACACAATATTTTTCCTTTTGGAATTTTTTGACTTTTTTCGCCCGGAAATAAAAATTGCCGAAATGTTTACCATGGTCCTTAATACCCTCCGGGAGTCCAATTGGCTGGGTAGAACCATCCAATTTGCCTTTAAACGACCAATTTACCGGTTTATAACTTCCACCGATTTCATTAATTCAAGCCTACCACGGACATTTAAGACAACAAATAATGATCATATATGGTTCCAAACGGCATTATATGACCCTGAGATGTATCCCATAGAATTTCAAGACTTTTCGAAACCGGTCCCCGAAACCTCCAAAATTTCTCAAAAAGCGTGGATATTAGCCTTCAATTTTGGAATTTTTTGACTTTTTTTCGACCGGAAATAAAAATTGCCGAAATATTTACCATGGTCCCTAATATCCTCCGGGAGTCCAAATGGCTGGGTAGAACCATCCAATTTGCCTTTAAACGACCAATTTACCGGTTTACAACTTGCACCGATTTCATTAATTCAAGCTTACCATGGACATTTATGACAACAAATAATGATCATATATGGTTCCAAACGGCATTATATGACCCCGAGATGTATCCCATAGAATTTCAAGACTTTTCGACACCGGTCCCTGAAACCTCCAAAATTTCTCAAAAGCGTGGATATTAGCCTTTAATTTTAGAATTTTTTTGACTTTTTTTTGGCCCGGAAATAAAAATTTCCGAAATGTTTACCATGGTCCCTAATACCCTACGGGAGTCCAATTGGGTGTGTGGAACCATTCAATTTGGTTTTAAAACGCCAATTTACCGGTTTACAATTTCCACCGGTTTCCAAATTATTGACTTGAACATAACCCAACTTGACTCCGAGAATGACTCGACTTGGAAATGACCCAACCTGATTATAACCCGCAAATTATTGATTTGAACCGAACCTGGCTTGAACCCGAAAAAGACTCGACTTGAAAATGGCACGACTTAATTATAACCCGCAAATTATTGATTTGAACCGAACCTGGCTCAAACCTGAGAATGACCTGGCCTTATTCTAACCTGCAAATTATTGACTTGTACCGAACCCGACTCGAACCCAAGAATTACCCTAACCCGTTTTAGCCCGTGAAAACCCGAATTAAACCCGACCTATTGTTCACCTGACCCGAATGTAACCCGACTTGTTATTAACTAGACCTAAACCCGACCCAAACCCGATAAGAAGTAAGACCCGACGTGACCCGACTCAAGCATGACCCAACCCAAACCCGACCCACATAGGTTATGGAATTAATCTGAATTGACCCGACCCGAGTTGACCCGACCCACTCTTACCGACCCAAACCCGACCCATTTACCCGAATTGAAAGCTCTAATTGATTGTCGTTGAATACTCAAAATCGAGAAACTGAACATGAAAGAAAATGCAGAAAAAAGGATGATCATCTAAGGCAATACAAAATCGGTTGAGTCATAGCATTTTGCACTAATGAACTTCAAAATGAGGTTGGGTTAAGAATCATGAAGCTAAAATGGTTGACTCATAAGTAAAGTCTTTTGTGGAGACTTATGGATTACCCAAAGCACCCTCAAAATGGCTTAATTCAAAAATTTTGTTGCGATTGTGTCCCTTTTTTTTTTTTTTTTTTTTTTTTTTTTTTTTTTTTTTTTATTGTGTCATAGTCTCATAAAGTAAAATTTACTTTATTTAGAAGTGAGGTAAAATTGTACACATGAAGTTGCAATTGGGGTTGGTGAGGAGAAAAGAGGGAGATATCAAGTAGGGTTGCAACTTGCAAGAGGGAATTTTGCTAAAAATAAAGGCAATAATCAATTACAAAGGGACACCCTAAAAAGGAATATGAGACAAATAAAAATAAACGAAGAGAGTAAGTTAATCAAGAAATTTATATCCAAGAACAAAGTTGTCAACTCTTACTTTATTATAAAGGCAAAAAAGCTCATAGTTTCTAATCGTGAATGGTTGTAATGAACAAAATTTGAAGTTGCGGACAAATCAAAGAATTCTCTCAAATCATTACCTAATGTTTTCAAATATACTTGCCCTTAGGCTACCAAAAACACTTCGTCAATAAACAATTAATGAAAATCAAGGCTAGCAATACTTATTATGAGTGGATGTTTAAGAATTGAAAAAAGATTAAATTTATAAGAGAAAACGCATGTCAATAGAGATTATATTTTCCGATTATTTCCACTTGTTTATTTTTTATTTACTACCTCTATTAAAAGTTATGTGCAACGATTTGACATAAAGTAGAGAGGAAAAATATTGAATCGTTGCACGTCCACATAACCTATAACGGTGTAGTATTTTGATTCGCAAGTGATAACTAATATGGAAAAGTTAAATTAAGAAAAACACTTGTTCAATTTTCTAATCAGCTTTTAAATATTGTAAAACAAGTATCACTGCATCAGTTTATCTTGTTTATCCTCTGTTTCTGCTCTTCATTACATTCTATCTCCTCTTTCACCCCTTTCTTCTTCACAATCATTTCCAGATGTTAACACAAGATCTCACCTTCTCCAAATCCTTAAACCCATTTTCTCTCTCCTCCCAAAAATGGAAACACCCTCTTTTCACAAAACCCTTTTACCCAATTTCCATCCCCAAATCCCCTGTTTCATGCTTCCTTAAACCCCACCAAAACCCTAAACCACCCCCTTCAATTACCCACCAAAATTCCAACACCAATCGCCGCCTTCTTCCTCACCCACCTTCCGCCGGACGCAGCAAGAAAACCCCCAAAACCGGCCGCATTGAAGGCAGCGCCGAGCTTCGCCGCGAGGCGAAGCGCAATGCTCGGCGGAAATCCCGAAAGTTGGCAGAAAGCCTGTTTTATAGGCTGAAAAACCCACATAAAAGTTACGCAGATAATTTCTCTGAAGATGAATTACAGATGATTGGGTTAGGATATGATAGAATGGTTAGGTTTATGAGTAAAGATGATCCAAGACTTAAGCACCCTTTTGATTGGTATAAGTATGGTGAATTTGGACCTTATTCTTGGCGTGGGATTGTTGTTGGTGACCCGATTCGAGGAAGAATGTCTGATGAATGTGCCACAATCATTGGTGAGGTTAGAGACCAGGAAGAGTGGGAGAAGATTGAGCAGCATGAGATGGCTGAGAGTTTTGGGAATCGATTGCGAACATTCGATATGAATTTGGGTTTACAGAACTATTGGGTGTTTGTTAGGCACCCGAGATGGCGGCTTGGTGATCTTCCGTGCGAGCAGTGGACATTGGTGTGTGAGGTTGTGCTCGAAGCCGGTGATCAGAGGTTGGATAAGTGGAATTTGATGGGGAGATTAGGGAATAAGACTAGAGCAATGATCACTCAATGTGCAGCTTGGATGAGGCCTGATATAATCTATGTTAAGAGGCCGGTTTATCAATGTCGATTCGAGCCTCAGGTGAACTTCTTCAGGGCAATGCTGCCAATTCTAGACCCGGAAACGGAGAATGATTACTTGTTTGAGTTGGAGGATGATGAGGGGAGGATTGAATTGGTTACTTATTTTGGTGGGTTGTGTAAGATTGTGAAGGCGAATCAGAAGGCGTTTGTAGATGACGTGGTGAAGGCTTATGAGAAGTTGAGTGAGGATAAGAAGTCTAAATGTTTGGAGTTTTTGTTGACGAATCATCCTGTTCAGCTCTTGCATCCTTGGACTAAGGAATGGAAGGCGAAATTGGAGGAGATGGAGATGGGGTGTGATGCCCCTGATGATGATGATGAGGGTAGTAGTTTGCATCGTCGTGATGCTAATTTAGAGTTTAGTGAATGGATTGAGGATGACAATGATGATAACAATGACGAGGATGAGGATGAGGATGAGGAGGATGATTACGACGCAGAAGACAATGTTGTGGTGAACACAAATGAGGAGGAGGATGAGGAATTGGGATTGCAAGAAGATGATATAGGTGATGAAGAGGATGAAGATTATTGGAAAAAGGAGTTTGAGAAGGCAATTAAAGATAATAATGAGATGGAGAATTTTGTGAAAAAAAGTGTTGAAAGAACAAGCAAAGTGTATGAGAGGCAGTTAAAGGCAATGGAGAAGAGTGAAAGTAGTGCTAGTTACAAGGATGGTGGCGATAGTGATGGCAAGAGCCACGACGATGGTGATGAGGCTGCTATGCGAGGTAAAAGAGCCAAGGTCAGTCCACAAGAATGGAAAACTATTGGGATGGGACCTTGGAGGAAGAAGACTAAGAAGAGTAAAATTCCTCCTGAACTTTTTCTGAGAGCTGCTGTTAGACCTTTTACCTACAGAAATCTTGTCAAGGAGATTGTATTAACAAGGCATGCAATTATAGATGGCGAAATCGATCTGGAGAAGTGAACCATTGTTTTTCATTTTGAAGTTTTGCCTGCACCATCGAGTTCTCCAAGTTCCTTGAATTTAGTAGTAAGTATACTAGTGTTGTAACTTGTAAGCATTAGAAAAACTATAATTTTGTACTCCGTAAGAATTAAGATTATTAACCCTTATATTAAATTTTAAACAATTACTAGTTACAAAAATAGAAGGATTTAAAATGAAACTGCAGGCTGTGCCTCTGTTGGATCTGTACCCTGCGCTAGGGGCCTAGGCCAGTAATTCCAGACCAACATGCCATGTTATGCTAAATTGCTAACTACAAAAATTGTGAATCATATACCATAGTTGGGAGAAATTGAGCGGAGTTCCAATAAATTACAACATTATTCTGCAATAAAATGCAACTCGCTTTCTTTTATACAATTTCACATCTTTGAATCAACAATCTATTTGATTGTTACAATACTTTTATTTAGATCTCTATCCTTTCCCTTAACCCCAATCTTTGGGAGGAAAGGGGAGGACGGCTAAAGGAGAGTGAAGGGGAGGGAATTATTGAACAACTGATGTGAACCGCTAAAACTAGATCTCAGTCATCTCACTGTATGTAGTGAGCCACGGAATGTCAAATGATTCCTCTGTCAGCATGGTCACATCCTACAAGCGCGACTTTGAAGCTGATGATGAAGCAGGTGCACTCTGCAAGAAAGAGGATATGCTACACTGTGAGGCAGAGATTTTGGTGTTCCATTATAAAAATCATTACAAAAGGTGGTGTGTCCATTTTAAATCCACAATTAAATTGGATGACATTATAAAAACTTAACTATTTTCTGTATAATTATTGAAAGACTTTCTGATCCACTAATAAATACTCCATTTTAGCAAAATCAAGGACACAAGATTTTTCATAGCGTCCCTTTTCTTTCTTTCGATTTTTTTTTCTTTGTTCTTTTACTAGGAGAATTGACAAGATAGTTATTTCTGACGAATGCCAGAGATGCTTCTCTTCAGAAATGATAATTATTTTTCCATGAATCCTAGAAGAAATATCACAATCACAATAGTTGATGCAATATAAGAAAAAAATGGCAGCTGGGAAAAAAATAATGCACTAACCAGTAACAAGCCTTTGGTAACTCTTTCCTCCAAGAATCGAGACGGTTTAAAGAAATTGCCATACAGGTTCGACCACTTCTTCAGACAATTGTATATATGGCTTGGCCCAACAGTATCAGCCCAGAAAACAAGACCGCCACTGCAAGAATGTAGAAAATTTTCAGTAACTAGACATTAAATATTTACACTACTCTCTGAAAGTAAGAATTTTCAGAAAAATTTCGAAACTCAAAAGTCAACCCAGTTGAAAGACAGACCGATATGAAGGGAAACTCATCCCAAGAACAGAAGCTACATCAAGATCAGATGCTCGAACCACCACTCCTTCATCGAGAACACGACATGCCTCATTTACCACTGGAAAGAGTATCATTCCCAAAATATCTTGGTCTGATACAGATATAGGCTGCATAGAAAGGGAGAGAGATCACCAAAGATTCACTACTTACGAAAATTTAATTTAAGACTGCTAGTATCACTTCTTTACCTTTCCATCAGGCATAATATTGGTCACCCTCCTAGATTCTTCAATGATGGGCAGCACGGAGAAATCAGGTTTTGGCTTGCTACCCTTTCCATAAACATAGTATCCTTTCCCATTGTTTTTACCTGTGATGCCAGAAACGTCAACAAAGTTATGACAAGAGATAAGATTAAAGAAGCTAGAATAAGTTCAGCAATCAACAGGTTTTATAGCTATGATAATCATTATTTACCATTACGCCCATTTTTTACAAGAAGTTCAACTAATGGAGACTCAAAAGTACGATCAGAGAAGGAAGCGCGAAATTCTTTTGCTACTGCAAGTGCAACTCCATATCCAGCTAAATCTTGAAGCCTGGAAAATTAATAAAGTGCTCATTCACCACCCATATAGCCCTCAAGTTGATGACAACAAACAAACATCAACCAGAAAGATGGAATTAAATGTAAAATAATGCCACATCGTGAGAAGGTGGAGAAAATTACTGGAAAGGGCCAATAGGCAAGCCAAAATCACAAATCACCCTGTCAATCCTGAAGATATCAACTCCCAAGTTTGCCAAAAGATGAGCACTCTGGGAGTATGGGAAGAAAGCCCTATTGACAGCAAATCCAGTACAATTACCGACCACAACAGGCACTTTATTAATTGTTTTACCAACTGAGATGAGGTCAAGAATAACTTGAGCCGAAGTCTTATTTGTCCGCACAATCTCCATGAGAGGCATGATATGCGCAGGACTGTCAATCAGAAACCCCTAGTAGAATTAGAAGAACACAAAGCCACAATTGCAAAATACTATAACAAATACCATATTACAACAGAACAGAACAGATCAGTTGAGCTTCACTACAAAAATCAGCATCGCAGAGAGAGCCTTAATAAGGAATCCGTACGCGATTGATTTTGCTATGCGTATCACTCTCAGCCTCATTCTAAGGTGACTTTCTATTGCTATAATTTAGTACTACCTCTTTCTAAATGTTCTTGACCATTTGCACAAAAAGTTTGAGCAGGAAGAGGATGAAATATTGGCCAATCACTGAAAAGTGATCAAGGGTCTATTAAGAACGCATCTGAATTTCATCTGGAACAGGTTCTAATTTTTCTGGTATTTATCAGAAGAAATGAAGAGGCCACATGCAATTCCCACATGGGTACTTCCTCTGACCTCTTGCCACAGATTTATATTGTCAGATATCAGTCTACACAGTATAAGACTTCTGATGTCGAAAGCAGGATGCTTCATGAACAGCAGAACAGGTGGTATTGCAAAGAAAGAGGATGTAACATCATTTCAATACAAGGCAAAAGTATGGTCCTCGAAGGAAAAATTACAGTTGCCTCAAATTTATTGGAGGCAGATTAGCAAATTGGCTATTTAAAAAAAAAAGCAAAATTTATCTCACAGCTGGTAAAGAAAAAATAAATAAGAAAAGCACCAAACCTGAAAAAATGTGCACCAATAATACGTTCCTGAGAACTGGTCTTTTCTCCAACCACATTGAGGTCAATAGTTGATGTGTTAGTTGCTAGAATGCAATGTGGAGGGCAGGTTTTCTCAAGTTCACTAAAAATTCTTTGTTTCAAAGGAACATTTTCGACAACAGCCTGGATGACAGGATCAGACAAACTTAGCAAGTCATTCTAATATTATGAGCCTTCCTGAATCAGGCCACTATATGCAATTACAATTACTACCAATCTAAGCAAATAATTTGAAACAAAGGTAGTACAAGAAAAATTCATATCTTTTGTCATCATCAGCACCTAACCTAATGCATGTAAGGAGTTTGAGACAACTAACCTCTATGACCATATCAGCATCTTTAAATTCTGAGTAGTCCAATACACCTTGGAGCAACGAAAGCGCTTTCTCTGCCTTGTTCTTCACCAGCTTCCCTCTCGACACTAAGCCTGTTATATTGCCTGCCACATGTAATATAAGATTCCCGGGCATTAAATACTGACTAAAGGAGTATTGTCAATTCAATATCAGTTAGGAGTCAGAACTGTATTGTGGACAGGAAAGGTAACCCGGTCACTACATGCAAAACAGAAGTTAAGGTCAATCATTCAATTTCTAATTTTGACATCACTTCATTTACCTCAATCTTTTAGAAGAAAGAGAGCCAAAGAACACTATTTGATAGAAGGATAAAACTACCTTGAATAGATTTTAATCCCCTGTCAAGAAATTCAGCATTTACTTCCTTCAACACAACTTTTATGTTTCCTAAGAGTAGGGCAGTTGCAATGCCAGAACCCATTAAGCCCCCACCAATAACAGCAACTTTCTTCATACGTCTTGGTTTCAGTCCAACATCAGAAACACCTGGAACCTGACACAAAAGCACATAGAAACATTTTTTTTAAAAAAAAATAGACAAAGTACATTTATATGAAGGAATAGCAACCAACAGTGACAAATTATTGAAGTATTGCCAGTAAATGTAAGGGTATAGAGTCAACATCTTAAATGCTCCCTTATTTGGATGAGACAGAAGGAGAAAAATGAGATTAATTAATCACCTTTGATGTCATACGCTGAGCAAAAAACACATGCACCAGACCTTTGGCAGTATCTGTTAAAACTAGCTCTTTGAAAACTTTGGCCTCCTATAACAGAATAGTAATTATCAGATTCAAATTTGTTGTAAAACCCTTCATAAAATATGAAAGCCTTCACACTCAAATACCTTTAAGACTCCAGCATAACCTCCATGCACTATACCCTCCTCAATAACATCAAGACAGGCTTGGTGCTGTGGCATGTTTCGAGCAGTCTGTTTTGCCTTTTGTCTTGCTGCCATCAGGAATTCATGTGATTCAGAGATGGAACCTAGCTTTTCTGACATGTGGAGGGAGCGTACGAAAGGTTTCCGGCCCTCTGCAATATCCAAAGCCCACAAGCGTGATACTTTCAGCAGCTCTTGAGGAGACACAACAGCATCGATAAGGCCAAGCTTCATTCCTTCCTCAGATGTTATTGGTTTTGATGACTTTGGGAAGACATCAGAAATCACAGAAAATTACAAAGTCAACGTTGAAGGGAAAGAGGAAAAAAAAAATCTTCACAAAATCTTCAGTTAGAAACTAGAGATAAAGCATAAAATGTCATGTCAAACAAGAAATTTAAAGTTAGTGTTAGAACAATCACAAAGTATGCTGAGGCTCTTGTTGATGACAAAGGACTTCCAAAAGAATAGTTTCAAATTTTAATCTACTGAGCTGAAAGACAATTAAGAGGCCTCATTCTGTTGCAAACAATGCAAAACTATTGAGCTTCATTAGCACTCATTTATTTTAGATTAAAATATAAATCCTATTATTGTCAATAGTTTCAAATTTTAATCTACTGAGCTGAAAGACAATTAGGTATGCTATTACTTTTCCACCCATTAATTTATTTTAGATTAAAATATAAATCCTAGTTATGTGCATAGATGGACAATTGGGCATGTATTTCTCATGAATCACTTTCATCTGAACATTAATCAGAGTGACAATTAATCTATAACTCAACCATGATTCCCCATAGCTAGGATATTTGCAACTTTAATCAATACACTGCTAAAAATTTCTTCCAAAAAAGATATCATAAATTTGGATGCAGAAGATCTAATACCAACCACTATAAAGAAAGTATAAAAACTCTTACACGTACAACAGTAATAATATCAAGTTTAATTCTATGTCCATCTCAGTGATACAATTTGCATACGCACAATATTTGGAAATCAAAAATCATGATTAATTGATGACAAACTGAAAATGTTAATCATGCATTCATGCATAGCATATTCTTTAAGAGCCATTCTCATAACATGATATGAGGGAGGTCAAGGCTTACCAGCATGATCTCAACAGCCTTTTTTAGCCCAACAAGTCTGGGAAGACGTTGTGTCCCTGTATAAATGTCCATAATCTCGTTTCAAATTCAACTCTAGTGTAAGTGTGCAATTAGGATAAATGGCAAATCTCCTTACCTCCAAAACCCGGAATCACTCCAAGTGATAGCTCGGGCAAACCAAGTTGTGCTTTTGGTGCAGAAATGCGTGCATGACATCCCTGCAAACGGTGCAAGAATGCTCATACTTAAATATTGGAACGGAACTAAGGAGGAAAGCAAGCACAATGTCCGTATAACGAATACTCATTCTTTCCGTACTTTTCTATGCTTAAAAGTGTTAATCTCTTTCTTATTTTCTGGCTAAGAGTGTTTCTTAAAGTAAACCCTATTTGCAAATGACAAATGAGACGTTTAAATTACGACATAAAAATTAATGAAAACAAAAGCCAGTATCAGGTGAAAGAATAATGACACAAACCATAGCCAATTCTAAGCCACCCCCAAGTGCAAGTCCTTGTATGGCAGCAACAGACGGCTTTCGAGCACCTTAAGCCAATAAACCAGCATATCATCAGGAACATTTCAACTCATGCAACATCAGTATATTAAACATGCTTATAATATGATTTACAACAAATCAAAGAAAACACTAATGCTTAATTAAATCAAGGACCTTCAATTGTATGGACCAAAAGATCAACCGACACATCCGGCAAAACCGACACATCCCCTGCCAAATCAAAAACCCTCACAATCAATTTCACAACCAATCTTATTCTTTCATTCCACAAAAGCGACAACATTCAAGTAAGCAAAATTTACCAGTTTGATGAACTTTCTGGAAAACATTGATGTCAAATCCACCTGAAAACCTCCCATTCTCACCTAAAATTGAGCAAAAAATACACTAACAGTAATTATACGCAAATCAACCCATAAAATTCAGAAAAATTCAAATCCTGGAAATTCCTGCTTATTCAGACATATAAACGCACTTAAAAAAAAAAAAAAAAAAAAAAAAAAAAAAAAAAAAAAAAACAAAAAAAAAAACTGAGAAATCGTTCCAACTTACCGGTGATGACGATAGCTTTGACGTCATTTCGACGCATCGCTTCATCGTATTTCTCCTTCAATCCATTGATTACTACACCAAAATCAACCAAAAAATCGTAAAAAATAATCAAAATTCGCAATTTGAATTGAAATAAAAAAAACAAAAACGAAACAAAAAAAAGAACAAACTTGGAATCGCAAGCGAATTAACAGGAGGATTAGAAAGAGTGATGAGAGCGACGCCATCGTTGCCGACCTCCATTGAAATTCGAGCTCCCGCCATTGGGGATTATTTTGGATTTGGAGAGAGAAAGAGAAAAAATAAGGCGGAGAAAATGAAAGAATGAATGATTTTGATCAGAAAATTACGTGTAAGATTATTTTGTTTAAATAGTTTACACAAAGCTGGATTTTGTGCCTATTTATAGGTAAATACTAACATAGTGCTAATTTTAGTGGTTTTGTTGTTGGAATAAATAAAGAAAATTACTAAAACTTTTACTCAATTTTTAATGTGCGGGGTTGAACAGAGGGGGGAGCGTTGACTGTTGGTGTATTGGTGTGAATGTGTGACACTGTGATATGTGAGAGTGATTAGTGAATCCGATTAGAATATACGCCCGATTACATGTAATTTTTATATGCGATAAGGATAATTTTTGAAGCATATTTGCATGTACTTCTATAATAATACTCCATATAATACATAATAGGAATATTTTTTTTGAAGAAAATACATAATAGGAATATTGAGTAGGATAGTTTTGAAGCAAACTTTATCAAGTACTTTTTTTGTTGAATATGCATGTGCATTTAAAATATATTTGCATAGTTCTAAATATGGAAGTGTTTAGGGTAATTTTTCTCTTATCTGGTCCAAATATAAAGAATTGTTGATTTTAGCAAACCTTATTAAGTTATCATATCCTTATCGAGGTTTGAACATTTAGGGCTTGTTTGGCATTATTTTTTGTTTCCAGTTTTAAAAAAAAAACCAAAAATAAGAAACAAGAAAAAAGTGTTCACTTTTTTGTTGTCAGTGTTAAAAATTATCATGTTTTTAATCAATTTGAATAATTTTTGATTCATTTTATGACATGTATCATATGATTTTGAAAAACAAAAAACAGAAAACCACAACAATGTCAAACGAGCCCTTAAAAAGTTGATTGTAGTGTTAAAAACTCTTTAAGAAGAAAGCTTAAAATATAAGTTTTTTTAAAAAAAATAATAATAATAATAATTAATTAGCTCGCTTATTGCATATTTAGTTTTTTTTTTTTTTTTTTGTACATACACTAAAAACAACTAATAATTAGTAGTAATTTACCAGTTTACCACAGCAAATCAAATCAAGTAATGCAACAAGTTATATCAATTAGATACCAACTAATCATCAAAAAAGGTTTAAACCTTATACCTACCATAAAAAGGGAGAAAAAAAGAAGATTATTTTAGGCATTACTGATTGGTCTTAATGGAATATCTACCACGAGAAACATGCACATAAACTATGTCGACCCTACTAGTCATTCTTGCAACTATTGCAGCCATTGCAGGCTGTAGCATTGGTGCGGGAATGACCACGACAATATACTTCATTTAAATGTTTTTGTCTTAAATGTAATGGAGCACAGTTTAGTCGGCATAAAGTTGTAGGAGATTGAGTTAATTACAAAGTATAATACGACAAAATGAGATTAACTAAGTAATAAGAAAACAATTTAAAATATATGATTCTAAAATAATCAATCGCAAAGTAGAATATGCGTCCAATTAAATTACATGAAATCGGGCCTCTTAGAATTTTTCTTGTTGCAAAAAGCACAAAACATATAAAATCAAATTGGTAATAATAATCACAAAGTAAAGCATATAGACATTGTAATCAAAATAGAAAGTAACATAAATACGTAGTAAATATAAACATCATTATTTTTTTTTTGAAACCTATAAACATCGTTATAAAAGCATATACTCCAAAAAAAACTAAAAATAAGTACACAATTGGCTGTCGTTTTATTATTACGGAGTACATAATAAAAAACACATTAAACTCTAGTATTAGTACTCGGTATAATGTAAGCGGGTGTATGTTATATTTAGTTTATAAAATATGAGAAGGAACGGTGAAGTCGTCGATATGTTTTGAGGAGCAGTAAAGTCAACTCAAGTCAAGCAAGGAAGAAAATGCAATGAGATTTTCAAGAAAGAAGATTGGACCAAAGTGCTTAACTTTCATGTGAAACCTGAAATGATGAAAATTCATTGGAAATATCAAACTCATTTTTTTAATTGAAGAGGAAGTTTCATTGGTACTTTAAGTTTGGTAAAAGCCTAAAATACCAAATTAATATAATGAAAGTTGGTGTGGTTTTGCTAGGTAGTTTCACATTACTTGTACACAATGACTAAGGGGTGAGCATGGCACGGGTACCCCTACCGTTAGTATTAACGGTTTGGGTACCCGATAACCAAAATTACTAAAAGTGATACCCATAATTGGAACTGATAAGTTCGGGTACTTGGATTTCGGGTACCCGGATTTTCGAATCGATTATTGGGTAATCAATAAGATATCCAATAATGATAATTAAACTTAATTGTGTAGTTATTATGATATAATTTACAACTAATTAAAAACAATATCATATGATCTTGACCAAATTATTAATATTACTAATCATTGATATTATGAAGTAAAGTAAGAGTTTAGATTTATATTAATAGATTTAAGTAAGGGAAAAAAAGCAAAAAAAATGCTTATCGGATCGGATCGGATAACCGTTAATTTTAAAATGATACCCATAACCATACCCGATAACAAATTATCGGAACGGGTACCCGAACCGTTATGGTTATCGGGATCGGGTACCCTAATTTTCGGAACGGTTACGGATCGGTTTTTCGGGTTTTCGGTTTTTCGGGTAGTTTTGCTCAGCCCTAATGACTATAGCTAACTCAATGTAAAGATGTACAATATTAATAAAAAAAAAATGTGACACTAAAGACTAAACCTAATTATTTTTGTACAACATGTAAATGACTTGAATTTTTATTGACTAGCAAGATTAAGCATTAAAGTGCTTTCAAGGTTTTCTAAAGAAGCAAGAAACCTACTTTAGTGCCTAAAACCATCTCATTCATGTCTTGGTCCACCCTTCGTTATCATGTCTAAATATGTCTTGGGAATCATTGCCTTGCTTTGACCCTAAGGCTAGCAAAAACTGATACGTACCCTCAATTTATTAAGTATATGGTGTTTTTATGTCTAGTCAGTGTCTATCTCCGATCTTATATGTGTGTAATGGGTGTATATTTTTATATTATTTTAGCCAATTACTTAGTTACCCTTAGTGGACTCCTTTTTAGAGGCTAAGGATACAGAGGTACGACCTATAGAACAAATCCTACAAGTATGGTCGTCCCTTAGTGGACTCCTAAATACTCTTGTATATGCTGAGAAAAGCCACGACTAACATTCGGATAAAAGTAGCTCTTTGAAACCTTTTTCCTCCTACAACAGAAAAACGATCTCAAGTCATGTGTTTTATTGTAAAAGTATTCGAAATCAGTATAAAGTCCAAATACATACCTTTAAGATCCCAGTTAACCTCAATGTATGATCATCAATATTGTACGAACTTCATTCGTAACAAAGGTTTGCGGCCCTCTGCAATGTCCAAAGCCCACATTCGCGATATGTTGGGGAGGCACAACACAACAGCATCAATAAGCCCAAGCGATGCTATTGGTTTTGATAACTTAAAGTTGATAGATGCACACAAATATGCTGATTTACACATATAAAATGACATTTTAATTAGTCCACCAAGCTTGGGAACGAAAACGCTGTGTCCCTATATGTAGATGGCCCTATATGTAGATGTCGAAAATTAGTCCTAGTAATAGCTTTGGCGTTACAAGAAATTCGGGCCAATTAGCCAAATTGGTATAAAAGTTAGCACTCTTGTGACATATTGATGTAAAAGTTATCGCCGGTGACATATTGGTATAAAAGTTAGCAATTTGTGACAAATTGGTATAAAAGTTAGTCACCGGCTACATATTAGTAAAAAAGTTAACAAATTGCGACAAACTGGTATAAAAATTAACAAGCTGTGACATTTCACCCTTCTTTTCTTACCGAATGATTTTTTTTTTTTAAAATAAATTTGTAGTTAATTCTCATTATATGATAAATAATTCTCTCCTTCATGCTCATTCACCTAAGATAATTGATAAATAATAACAAAAAAAATAGTGAGTTAAAAAAAATCTAAAAAAATGAATGGAAAGAGAATTTTTTTTTATAATTGTCACAAAAGTGAAAATTGTCATGTAATAAGTTGTGATATTTATGAAGTTGGGAGAAAATATATTTATATAAAATTGAATATTTGGAACAAAAAAGCTCAATCAAAGAGTTTGATCTTGTAATTTTTCTTGATTAATTCTTCTGCATAATCTAGAATATTTCTCTATATTTTCCTTTTTTTTCTCTTTTTTATTTCTTTAACTTTTTGGGGGGCTTTTAATAGTTTCCAAAAATAAATATTTAAAGCAAAAAAAAAGGTAAAGGAAAACAATAGATTTAAGGTACAACAAATAATAAGAAGTATCTTTTGTACAATGTACGCTTATTATTCTAAGAAGAAAGTGGGTTAAATGTCATCACTAATAAACTTTTATACCAATATGTCATCACATGGTAACTATTATACCAAAACGTCACCAGTGACTAACTTTTATGCCAATCTGTCACAACTTGCTAACTTTTATACTAATTTGTCGTCGGCAATAACTTTTATACCAATATGTCACAAGGGTGCTAAGTTTTATACCAATTTGGTTAATTGGCCCAAGAAATTCGTGCATGACATCCCTACATACAAAACTCGATCTCAAAAGTAAATATGTGAAGGATTTCCGTACACAAACACATTTCGGGCATGTACCTAGAATTATCTAGTGTACCACTTTTGTGGGCAGGTAGCTAGTTTGCAGTTGTCGCGATCCAGGCCAATATCATATATATTGTGGGTTTAAAATCTTTACAATGAGATCACAATACGAATAGACAATGATGTGTAATAATATTAAAACATTTTACTTAGGTTAGTCCCATCTTTGCAACATTAATAAGGATACTTGTGAATAGGAACGTATTGCAACGGCTACAATAAATTTGTAGTCATGGTAACCTTCTAATGCAAGTATTTAATATTTTGTATTAAATCTAAATTATTTATTTATTAGTTGACCAATAAAAAAAAAACTCAAAATTATGAGATACTTTTTTTATAATAAAAACTAATTAGTTACTTATATATATCCAAAGTAATTAATTTACCATAAATTTAATGTAATATTTCATCAAGTTTTGTCAAAAAAAAAATAAAATAATAATAATAATAATAATAATAAAAAAAAATCATCAAGTCCTCGACAGTACACTTTCTTGAATTTTTCTTCCATATGATATCCTTGAGATCGAATTCTTACAGAGTAACATTTTTTCTTAATTCTTTTACTTTCCAAAAATATGTTAGACTTAGCTAGGTCATAGGATCATTATCCATACATTTTAAATGATTATTCTATCCTAAACAATATGAGATATTATTTTACTTTCCTAAACTCTAATCCATAAAATCTGTTTTACAAGCTATATAAAATGATAAAATCGTGGTAACCTTATAATCCAAGTTTTAAATATTTTGTATGAAATCTTAATCTTAATCATACATTTTATTAGTTGACCAGTAAAGAATTAATTTTATTTTCTTAAAAAAAAATACTCAAAATAATTGGTTACTTATCCAAAGTAATCTACTGTAACTTTTATTTCTTTAAGTCCTCAACACGCTTTCATCAATTCTTCCTCCCATTGATGTATTTGATTTTCCATATGATATCCTTGATAATACTTATGGATTAACCTTCCTTATTAATTCTTTTATTTTCCAAATATAGTTTAGTCTAATTTTATTTATAAAAAAAAAAAAAATGATTTTTTTTAAATAAAAAAGAAATTATTAGATGTTAGCTTACACTTAGGTCGGTACTCGGTAGTGCATAATGCCGCATATCAATGATTATATCCTAAACAATCTAGCATGAGATATTATTTTAGTTTCCTAAAATCTGTTATTACAAAACCGTCATTACATGAACAAATTATATTTTGCTGTTGTTATAAATACTCCTTAAACTATTTACTCATTATTCACATTATAATAAATCATACAAATTAATTAGTGAGAAGTCTTGGAGAGAAAACTATTCCTTTGATTCTTTTCATATATATTTTAACGCTAATTAACGTGAGATCGATAGCCATGGAAGAAACGACTATGGACCTAGCCGCTATGTGGGAAGAGACGTCAAGGAAGTTGGATGGGTTAGAGGAAACATGGGATGTTCTTGATAGTGTTTCAATGAAGCAAAGAATAGACGATGTTGTTAGTTTGGGTCATCAAGATGTATCACGACATCATCAACGTCGTCATGGAAAGGGCAAAGAGATGAAAGTTCTCCTCAAACATTTGAAAGGGGTAGACGACGACATAAGCGTTCATCGTCATCAAGAGTTACCACATCAGTCCTCATCGCCGCCAAGATTAGCACAACGTGGTCGAAAAGAGTCGAGTGTACAACCTTTGTCATCATCACCACCTAAACCTGATTCCTCTTCATATTGCAACAAGTTGGAGAATACAAAGCGGAAGTTGCAAGAAGGCTACAACAAGTACGATAATGCAAGAAAGAAAATATGTTTGATTGGTTTGAGTGATCTTCCTACACAGCCTACAACAATAAGAAAACAAAAGGGAAAGCTTAATAAAGGTTTTAGAGGAGTCAACAATATTATTATGCCTCATCAAATACTTGGTACGTCAAGATGATCGTCAAGAGCATACAAACAAGTCAAGAGTTTAGATAAAGGTATAACAACTAGTTTTATCATTGGCGAGGTTAAATTTATGGTGCAACATAATGCACGGGTAATATGTTTTGTCTGCCTTTATTACTCCTAATTGATGTGTCTTGTAATAGTCACAACATCGTTACTATAGTGAAAGAATTGGATGATCGTCCCCGCCCGTGGAGTAGGTCACATCGACCGAACCACGTAAAACTTGTGTATTCTTTGTCTTATTTTTGTTCTTTAATTTCTTACTTATTATTGCACGTAAATCGCTCTATCAACTAACCTAATTAAACTCACATATAAAAAGCTAATTATAATAAGTTCAGTAAATGAAAGTCCATGAACTAATTAACTAATTACCTAATTATAAATTTATATATTTATGAAAGTCATGAATCTTGATAAAATATATACGTTAACAGTTAATAAACTATATATCAAAAAATAAAAGTAGGGCCCTTAGTTATATCATAAAACTACTACACAATTGAATTTTATATGATAATGTCAAAATTTTGTACTACGATAAGCCTTTAGTAATTAAAATAACATAAATTTCAACACTACAAACCAAAGCTGCCCTAATTATGTCAAAAATACAAATCAAAGCTACCGTAATTAATCAAGATCGAAAAAATGGCACATACATACCATAGCTAATTCTAAGCCACTTCCATGAGCAAAACCTTGTAAGGCAGCAACAAACGGCTTTGGTGAATCTGAGATTAATCAATAAATCAATGTTTTCATCGCAAGTATTGTACGTATTACATATACATATATTAGTACAATTTTATTCACCATACGTCCACAAATAAATAATAAAATTAAAAATGTAAATAAGGTTGGTTACGAGCAATGACCTTCGACTGTGTTGATCAATTGAGTAGCAAATCTTTTCGGCAATATAGATAAATCCCCTATATATATTAAACCAAGTACCATGTATAATTGTATATCATAGTCAATTTCATAACTAATATGCTATATTGCTAATATAAATGAAAATAAATCGTAAGCAAATAAAGTTAAGTTTTACTTGTCTCTTGCACTAGCTTAATAAATTTGAGGTCAAATCCGCTTGAAAACTTTCCATTCGCACCTAAAATGAGAAAATGAGTGATAATAATTAATACGTATTCATAAGCCATAGCTAAAAGAAATCCCTCAACTCCCAAACAATTATAGTTTCTGACCAACTTTCCATCAAGCGACTTATACTTGGTTACTGTGTATGACTAATATAATCATGCAAATGTACTCCGTGATTAAGTTATATCAAAATCTTGTACACATTATAAAGAATTTTCTAAACATTAATAATTTAGCTAAATTATGGAGTAAATTAACTACTTACCAGTTATTACAATGGCTTTGACATCATTTCTCCTTATAACTTCATCATAAACTTCTTTCAATTTCATTAATGCTACGTCAAAATCAACCAAATAAAAATCATTAGTCATTTAGAGTTCATACAAATTTTAATTAAAATGAATTACAACATATATGCTTGAAAACGAAAAAAAAATAAAAATGAGATAGAGTATGTTGTATGTAACTTGTAATTTCCAAGGCGTTAACGGGAGGATTTGAGAAAGTAACGAGGGCAACACCGTCATTTCCGACTTCCATGGAAACTCGAGCTCCGGCCATTATTGCCACCTTCAAGGCTTCAACAACTAGCTAGAGACTTTAGAAGGGAAATATATAGAATGAAAGATATGAAATATATACAAGTATTAAGAGAGTGACCAAAATTTAAAGTGTTGTCGTTTACGTATGTATTAAGTTGGAGATCATACAAGCATGGATAGTAGGGTCACCAATGTCATATTTTGTACGTGTTTCATGTGGTAGATAGTAGTTACTCCATAATTGAGTTAAGCTAAATTATTAGTGTGTAGATAATTCTTCTTTCTTATTTTAGGTATAATAATGCAAAAACTTTTGTATACATCCGGTTTACACTAATATTAGTGTACATCGAGCAGTATAAGGGTAACTTTTAGCTAATTTTAGGGTAACTTTTTGTTTTTTTTTTGGGTAACTTTAAACATAATACAATTTTTATATAAATCAACAACAAGAAAAGTTTTATAAAGGTAATTTAATTACATTCAATCACTAATAATTGATTTTTAGTCATTTAAATTTTGATTCTTTACTAATAAAGCGTAGATAATTTTTGTTTGAATTGGGCTACTTTAACTCATATTGGGGTAACTTTTATTTATTTCAGGGGTAACTTTTAATCACTTTAAGTTATCTTTATAATGGATGAATAATTATTGTACACCCGATTTTTTTAAAAGTTTGTGATAACAATGTTTAATCGAGTGTAAGGGAGTGACTACGGCATGAATATGATAATTTGATAAGATTTGCTTAAATCATGATTTACTTTCTATTAATAAATTATTAAGGCAAAGCAAAATTAGTTGCCTTATGACACAATTGATTGTTTAACGATTCAATAGATTTTCAAGAGAATTCAATTAATTTTAGATTATCTAATTTGATACTCCATCCGTACCTAAATTACATTCCTACTTCTCTCTATTAGTAAATATACAGATGCTATATGGTCACATAATGACTAGGACTTTAATGTGTGCCTTACAAAATTTTTTAGACCTTTTGGCTACGGTAGTTAGTGTTTAGTTATTTATCATTTCGACCACGTTTTAGCAGAAGTTCAACTAACGGTGACCTGAAACTATGATCAGGGAAGGCAGCTTGAAATTCATTTGCTACTGCAAGTGCATTTCCATATCCTGCTACTAATGGTGACCCAGTCTAGATCCGACCCGTTATCATCCCTAGTCATAGGTATCACATGATTATACTATATCCTATAATATATTTGATTTATGATAAAAAAAATGTAACTTTGACCAAATATTGATAATGGTTAAAATAAAAAACAGGGGTCCAAGGATCGAACTCTTCAATTCAGTTCAGTTCAGTTCAGTTCAACTCCTAATTTCTTTCATTTATAAAATATTCAGTTCAGTTTAGCTCAGTTCAGTCCAGTTCAATACACCTAATTTCAATCTAGAAGTTTAGAACAAGCCCTAAATTGCCCTCTATTGTGTTCTTGTTCCTTTTTCCTCATCTCCGTCCTTTCTCTTCTCCCAAACTACCACACAACGACCAAAAGTTCAACACCCCAACTTTGAATCATAAAATTATTCACTGAATCACTGTCGAAATCAGGTTTACACTCTTCTTCTTCTCTCTCCTCATTTCAATTCAATTGGATTTACATTTCTCTTTTCTTTTTGTTGGGTTCAATGTGATTTTTTTTTTTCTGTTTTGATTATTCCCCAAGTTTAGATTTTTCACCATTTCATTGACAATTATTTGAAATTGTATTGAAACAAAATTCAAGGTTTTTACGTCAATCTTTGACAAAATAAATCCATTTGAAATATATTTGTTGGAAAATTGAATGATTGGCATGCTTATAATGCACTCTAACTGTTCGATAAAATGCTAACGATGGAAATTGACTTTATATAACTCCATTTTATTTATAATCAGTGAGAAATTATAGTATATTGATTCTTTTATCATATACTTACATACCCATTTGTAGTTAGTATAATCTTTAAATTTATATGAATCTTGTTAAAATTGGTGTAGTTCATTCTAATATAATGTTGAAATTGGCAGGTGATTTAATAATGGACTGGCTCTTAATTCTGCTCTCTGTTTCTGTGATTTGGATTGCCTCTTTATGTAAAATATTGCACATATCTTACTTCCCCACAAAAGATCAATACTTCAACATTGGTAGGTGCGTCGTTTTCGAATTTATAGCGTTAATATATTTCAATTAGTTTCATGATACAAGTACATGATTGGGAATGTGTACAAACTTACTATAGCTTGCAATAACTATATTTGTATTGTTGATAGTAATTCTGAAATTTCACTTTTAAACTATGTGTAAAGTAATGGAAATGGAAATTGATTTGTTACTTAGGCGATACCCTACACAAGAGGGCTGTCTTGCTCGTGATTGCACATCCTGATGACGAGTCTATGTAAGTCGATCTGTTTTTCTTGTCATGGTTTGAAATGGTTTTTGTATATACTATGAAATGACAGGTTTTGATCATTCAATTATGCACTTTTCGACATCTAGAAGAAGCATTGGAGTGTAATTATCATTGAAAACTTTTGTTGCTGTGTTGTTTGTTGTGTAAATTAGAAAGAGGGATAGCCCCCAAAGAGTGACCAGAGTTTTAAGGGTCACTTGAGTTTGTTTTTGATCCCACATTGTTTGAGCACGCCACTATACAAATTATACTTCTGTATCATGTTACTTATGTTGATTGTTTGCTATTATTTCAGGTTCTTCATTCCGACAATTAACTATCTGACATCAAGAGGGCATAATATTCACATCTTATGCTTATCTACTGGTAATGCTATATTTCCAGTTTACAACTTTAGGACTTTGTGCTCAGACCCACAAGCATGTATTTAAGATTCTGCAACATCTTGTGACTTTCTTAGTTAGTGAACAGTTACAGACAACCCCTAGATATTCATCTTGAGCTTTAGCGTCATTTTTGCCTGCTTTATATTTTGGTTGGTTGACTACTCTTATTCTAGATCTTGGATGTACCTAGTAGCTTTTAATTATGTTTCAATTCACTTGGAATGTCTGTTTCTGGTTAAGCTTCCAATAGAAAGTCTATGGGGGGCCAAATGCACACAACTTTACCCCCTAGCTATTGAAGAGTCAAAGAAGCTGTTTCCGAACATACTCTTCAAATGCATATTTCTTCACGCCTCTCAGACTTTTGCTTTTGTTCTCTTCTGCTTATTATTTTCTTTTTATCCAATTTTACTTTGATCTTTGGTGGAAAGGAAATTGTAGTATTCAATTTAATCCTTTTCTTGTACAGAGTTACAAATTTTTCTTTTTTCATATATATATATATAGGCAATGCTGATGGGATGGGAAAAATTAGGAAAGATGAGCTCTACAAGGCTTGCTCCATGTTAAAGGTGATATTTTGCGTTTGGCTTATTGTTATCCTATCTGTGAGTTGCTACCTACATGAACCTGAAAAAGTTTTCTGCCTCCTTGTGATTGTTTGCATATATTTATGATTTGACTCCATAATGGTGTAGCCACTAGAGGCAAAGATATCATTTTGCATCTAATGTTGATAGTTGGTGATAACTTTATAAAGGATGACTGGAATTGTGGTGATAAAATTTTACTTCTTGAGCAAGGTAGTTTCTTTACTGGTGTAGACCTTGTTCAAAAACATAATATGTGAGCTTGATATCATTCTCTTTGTGCAGGTTCCTCTGAAACAAGTGGTTGTTCTTGACCATCCAGAGCTTCAGGTTTGATAAGCAAAAGTATCCTAATATTTTGACTTTATAGTAGTACAGCTAAATGGTACTTTCTAATGTTATAGCTCCTTCTTGCTGTGACTAGGATGGGTTTGGCAAAGTGTGGAACCACACCTTAATTGCAAAAATTGTTGAAGATAACATCAGATCTCATGGCATTGATACAGTGAGATTTATCTTTCTATCTTTTGTGGCTTTGCATGTTTTTAGAACTTAAATATATTTTTTCTGTAATCATTCAAATGAAAATTATAAAAGGAAATGGTTCTACTGTATATTCAGTGTTGTTATTCTCCATTTATCTCTTGTTGAAATTTGCAGATAATTACATTTGATAGTTATGGAGTTTCTGGTCATTGTAATCACCGAGATGTACATTTTGGAATAAGGTGACTTCATCAACCACCTTTAAGAATTTAATGGTCACTTTGGCTTATTCTCCATCTTTATAATGTGCAGCACCTATATCTTTTGCATTCATTGATATTTTGTCGACATTGTCGTATACTTTTCTATTCTGCATTTGAGTATTAGTTCATGTTTTGTTTCTTAGCTTTCAACGCTTGTCTTGATACATGGATCAAAACTTTTGTCTATCTGCTTATTCTAAAAACTTATTCTATTTAGTGTAATTGCATCATATGTTCACTTGAAAGTCCAAAATTTTACTCATACTTGTTTTAGATTTTAAGTGGATGAATGATAGGTAGTCTAAATTTAAAGGTTTCTTTGTATTGTAACAGAAAGGTATTACTTGATTCTCAGCAAAATAGTTTTGAAGCATGGGAACTGGTAATTTTCCCCCCCCTTCAAATTATAGACAAATGTATCTTATAAGCTTTTGTAAGTTTTGCCCCCTCATTGCTGTTTCCAGGATAGTAGCAGTGTATTGCGGAAGTATAGTGGACCAGTAGATATCTGGCTATCCATCTTTATGGCCTGGTGTCTTCCTCATAGGAAATCTATTTGTCTACTGAATGAGCATCCTTTTAAGAGCTTTCAAGCAATGGCACAACACGCAAGCCAGTGGGTTTGGTAGGTGTTCTAATTTCTTTTCTTCTTCTGTTCAGCTTTAGAGTATCCAAGAAACGTCCTTCCGTATGATTGAATATTGTTCTTTCATTGACCCCATTAACAACTCAAAAGCCTTGACTTTGTCTATTCACCCCCTCCCCCTCTTCCTTCCAACAATTCTAGTCAAAGCTGCTTCTACTTTGCCGTTACTTAATCTACCCTGCCTTAGTGATCATGGGGTTGGGTTTTTTTTTGTTTCCCTGATTGTTCTGAAAAACTGTGCAGGTTTAGGAAACTATTTATATGTTTTTCAAGTTACACATATGTGAACACACTTCAAAGGATTGTGCTTTAGACTTATGGTTCAGGACCTGAGGTAAACTGGTTTGTACCTTAGTTTTAGGTCTCTTACAATTTTCACCGTACATGTGAAGTTAAAGTTTGTCATGACTGATACATGGTCAGATTTGTGGTTCAAGATTGAAACTTAGTGGAGGTGATTTTTGGAAGAATTATAAATTCACTTTGAGAATGTCATTGCCGTTTACAAGATATTGAAAGAATCAGTAAATTTGCAGTATACCCATGATTATTGTTGGGAGTCTATACACGGATGATGGATCCAAGGGATGAAAGTTCTTAGGTAACATGTTTGTTGCATCTTGATTCCCGAGGAAAAACAAGTTTTGCTGCAATGATCTGGATCAATTGTTTTAAAGTGAAAAACTTGTTTGCTGAAATTGAGGCTTAGGTTAACTATGTTGCAAAATATTGGATCCTTGTTTTGTTGAGATTAGAAGTTATTTGATGAATGCTTAATAATAGTAATTTCACTGATTTGTAAACTTAAGGTAGCATGACTTATTAAAATTTGTAATTTGGGTCACAATCGCGCCATTTGAATTGAGTTTGGTTCAAGTAACGAGTCTTTCAATTTGGCAATGGGTTTATTACGGCTCTGGTCTTAAGTCAGCCTATTGTGATATATTAATCAATGCATCATGTTAATTCCTTACTTAGTTTTCCACATCCTTATGTGCTTTAAAATTATTGTTTCATTTCCTTTTAGATAGTAACTTTTGGCCGTTTAAATCCCAAATCACCCCAATTTAATTCAGTTTCTCTCTGTATTACATCACATGGACTCTCTTGTAAGTTGTAATGAACATCCACATAATAACAAGTAAAGTATACCATATATAAGTGAAAAAACAAAAAAATTGTAGTAATACTAGTTGGTCTTGCATTTTATAAATTTATCAAACTTTTTATTTCACCTTAACTATTTTACCTTAACTACCTATATTGGACCCTCGATATTTTGATATGAGTCACATAAATAGGACACTTGGACACTTCATTTTAGTTGAAAACCATTGAAAATTTTCACAAAAATAGTCGAGGTCGTATACTTGAACATGTACTCGTGTTGGACATGGGTACTCGAGTTCGAGTAAACACAGGGTATTGGAATGGGTAAAATCATTTTTTTTTTTTTTCCTTTATTTGTATTTTATTAAGTTTTTTATGATTAGGAAAAAAAAAAAAAAACTTGTGGATCACCGATTATCATTTGCACACCTAAGTGAATAAAGTGATGGTGTGTGTATTGTATTAGAACAACGCGCAAGAGTGGGGTGCTTCTCTGCATAATGCCAAAGTGCCAATAATGAAAGTATGGTAGGCAGACTCCAATTTGAAACCTTAACCAACCACACACCAGATAATAAGTGAGTCAGCTTCCACGTCAACCCGCCATGTGGTGGATCTGTTAGCACCCATCCAAACTCTTTCTTATCAAGTCTTACAGACCTCACCTTTCTACTACTACATCCTTCAGCACAAGCCAACCTTTTCATTAATCCTGTGCCAAAATTAGTAGTAATGGCAGCAGCAGCAGCAACAACAATGGTAGCAGCTACGCTGGCACGAAAACAGCAAAATCCGCCAATGATGGCAGCACTCCCAACCAGCATTGGCCAGGCCGTGTTTGGGCTCAAGGCTGGTGCTCGTGGGGGAAGGATGACCGCGATGGCTGCCTATAAGGTTACCTTGATTACACCTTCAGGTACCCAGGAATTTCAGTGCGACGATGATGAGTACATCTTGGATGCTGCAGGAGGGAATGGGGTGGACTTGCCTTACTCATGCCGGGCAGGCGCGTGCTCCTCATGTGTCGGGAAGTTGACTTCTGGTAGTGTAGACCAATCAGATCAAAGCTTTTTGGATGATGGGCAGATGGCTGAAGGGTGGGTTCTCACTTGTGTTGCTTATCCTATTAGTGATGTCACTATTGAGACTCACAAAGAATCCGAGCTCACTGGTTTTTGATTTTTTGTACTGGTAAGTGAACAAACTTTAACTTACGAAACTTAGAAATCGATCAATTATTTTGAAATGGAGGGAGCTGTTGTTTTGACATGTTTCTACCTGATGATTGTTTTATGATACGGAGTAGTATTTTTAGTGATCCAATTTTTGTTAAAATCATTCTTGATCAAAATTTAGATCTAGTAGCATAATATTATTGAAACTCCTAGGATATAATATAGGACGGAATGATTTCTTTGAGATGCTTGAAAAATGTTTTTACTATGTTGCATTGCCTATACTTCCCAAGAAAATTAATGCTTTCATTTCAATACAATTTCTGCTCTGTTTTCTACATGATAAAGACGTTTCAAATGTGATTAAATGTTAATTAGAAGTAACTAAACAAGAAGTAAGGTTGCCTTAATCCTCACTTAAAATCCACTAGTGACAAAATTCTCCTTGCCTTGACTTCTTCCCATAGTTCTTCCATTTATGTGCATCTCTTTAAGTACAATTTTTTGTTAAGAGCTCAGAAAATACAATTTTATACTCTTGATCGCGCATAACGTTGACTCGTGATGTAGTGACCAAATCTAATGATACTTTATGTTTTGTACTAGACTATGGGAGCCTAATTGAACTGCTCAGGTACCACAGATAACAATTAGGTACTACAATCAACCTCCAAATCCTTGATCAACCATGACATAAACACTTGTAGGAGCAGCCACACTTGACTCGATAACCACTCGATTTTGTGACACATTACGCAAAGCGTAATTTGGGAAGGCATTCCCACTCGTACTTAGTGTATACTGCACATGTTTTATGAGATTTGGAAACAAAAGAATCCCATTAAAGTCTGCAGTGTAAGTGCTTCCATTCCCCTGAACTGCTGACTTTGCTATGGTAGCCTTAGCATTCATCCCTTTGACATTATTCCGATCAATTAGAATTTGATCAACATCTCCAAAGGGACCATCTAATTGTACAATGTCGATCCCATTTCCGGACCCTGCAAAGATGTTGTCGACGATATTGACACCATTTGCAACACCCTTGACAGACTTAAACTTAATGTATGCATCTCCTAGGAAGAAGTTGTTAGAAATAATAAGTTGTACTGGATCTTCTGCAACAATGCCGGTATAATCCAAGTACGAATTTACAATCCTTGTTTGGGTTAAACCAGCTAACTTCAAATAGATTCCGGTTCCTCCAAACCCGGTTGCCTTGTTATAGCAATGCACCCCGGACAGAAGGTTAGCCTGCCCTGATACTATGATCCCTGTATTAGCTGAAAATATTACAACATCATTCACAACGTTGTCGTTTCCCATAAGGGTTATAGCTGTGCCTGTGAAGTTTCTTTCACCCGGATCATTCCCGGCTGTGATATGTTGGCCTAAGTAGGAGCTTCGGATCAGAGTTTCGTGTCCACTCTCAACTCGAATGCCCTCGGACATAAAATGAACAATGTAACAATTATCTATGCTAACTCTAAGAGTATTTATAACAGCAATGCCACCGCCTTTATAGTTGCAATCTAACATAAGGTCTCTGAATGTTATGTACTCGAAGTTGTAGGATGAGCTGCTAAGGTTTTGATCTGTTGTAGAAGTTGTGTTTTCTTTGCTGATTTGAGAAGGGGGTGATGCTGAAAGTTCAATAAGATATCGATCCGTTGCAAAATTGTCTGATGCTAATAGAGTTCCTCCATGCATCTGTTGAAGAAAATCATATGAAGTTGGTCAATAATAGCCAAATTCAGGTAGATATGTAATTAAAGATTCAATGTTTTTCCCCCCAATGTGAAAAGAAAATCAAGTGGATTATACATAAGAGGGGCAAAGCCGTACATTTTGAGTGTCATGTTAGGTGAAAAAATTTCATACAAAGTACTCCGTAATTTATAGTAATATATTACATTTGTCATTTGATAAGCAACGATAAATCACTTATAGTGATCAAGCATTTTAGTAACTCTAATCTTGAAGTGATACGGAGTATAAAATGTCTAATCCAAAATTTAACCAAAGAAATCTTCTTGTAACCCTTAAGGTGATAACAAGGGCGACCAAGGAAGTTATAACCCCTAAAGAGGCTAGAGCAAATCCTAATTGAAAAATGAAAACGACCGAATTGTTGCTCTAATCTTGGAGTGATACATATTTTAGAGTACGAAGTATATAATATATAATTTAAAATTTAACTGAAGATACCTTCTTGTAACTTTTATGGCGATAACAAACTATACTACAGTTCAAATGAATCATCTAATAAAGCTCCTAAATCTAGACAAGAAAATTAGATCTCAAATGCCAAGATCATGAAATCCATGATCTCTATTTTAGCAATTAAACAAAATTAAAAGAAACCTAATATGCTTACAACGAAGCTTTATTGACTACATGTTTCAATGCAATGAACACTTATATTTACTTCAAATATCAATGCATTCGATCATCTATAAAATAAAAAACTTTGTATGCATGCGTTACAACAAACTACTCATAAGATTTGGTAATAATTAGGTGATATTTGTGCCAATTAATAACAAGTTTGAATTACGCTAACTATTTAACGATTGTTCAATATAGTTGTTCAACAGATATACTCTGCTCGAGAAATGAATTATGCTTACTTTAGAAAAAATGAATTTACTTTCTATGACAAATTCAACATGGCATGTGTGAACCAACTTGATACTCCATGTATTTATTTTTCATCTTTCAAGCACCTTTATGTCTAGACAATCTAGTTATTTAAAAAGTATTATTTTAATATATACTTCATCTGACGACTGTCTGAGGTTTATTGTTATACTCACATACTCCTTAAAATAATTCATGTCAAATAAAAATTATTATTAAAAAAATAAAAAATGAAACACTTTTTCTAATGATGAAATGTTATTTAATTATTTGAGAGCTTTATTTTTTAAAGCATGATCATATAATAACAGTAATTGACACATGATCATTACCTTAGTATTTGCTTGATGTTATCAAATCTCTAATGCACGAAATTGGGACAATGAGACATCTTATTCAAGATAATAGAACGAATAGTAATAAACTTGTGCATTCGAATAGTTTAACTAGGTGTCAATAAGATGAAATTAGGTTAATCAAGTCCAATCAGGTCTAATAATGTAAATTTAGCTAAATTCGGTCGGAAAAAACATACACCTAACATTTTTATTGATGTAACACTATTCGGGTCTCCTAAATTCTATTATTTGAGCATCAAATCTAAATAATTTGATGTTACCCTTTGAAACATAAGGTGGAAGAAGATAAGGTCACTAGAAGAAACTTCAATTATAGAGAAAAGTGCACTTATAGTTCAACTACAACTCCTAGACTTTCATACTTCGTATTTTTTTAGTCCAGCCGTCGTTCACTGCAAGACTCATGGACTCAAGAATCTAACAACTCTATTTCCAAGCATGGTTTTCTAGAAATTACACTTGCTCCAATTTTTCTTGAAAAATGTTTTCAATATTATAAAAGATCCTTTGATTAATCTGTTAACTAAGTTTTAAATCTAAGTAGCTAAAAAAAGTCATCAATTTATTTTGTTTTTTATAATCAAATTAGTTTAGGGTAAATTAGTCTTTTCATATTTTTATCGAGATCTTAGGTTAAATTCTAAATTGTTTTTTAAAAAAATTGAAAAGGATGCAAAGGAACGCTTTTATGCATATAAAAAAATAAAACAAAATAAATCATTGTCCTTTCCAACATATAGACATATTTTCTTGCTTCGCCCGTGATGCTAAAATTATGAGCACGATGCTTTACTTCTTGATTACTCCATGTACAATTAAGTTTTCACCACAACAAGTTAAGAGAGTATATTGTGATTATTTTGCGAGATCCAACAAAAAAAATTTCTCATCCATTTGCCAGCCTTATTGGACTAAAAAAAAAAACTCCGTATGAGAGTTTCTTAAGCAAATGAGATAAGTAAAAAGAAATACTCCGTAAAACTTGTTGAATTCTTATACATAGTAACAATTTATAGTTTTCTTATCTTAAAACACCGCATAATCAAATTGTACATGTTTTCCACACCAAATTCTTTGACGTAAGAATTATTGCTAAGAAGATCAAGAAAATTAAGTTATTTTACCAAATGACCTCTTTAATTTCCTTAACTTATTCACATTTGACTGAAGCAGGTGAAGTAGAATAAATGAAACCATGAATAAATTGCGTCAGACCAAAAACATGAACAAGTAAAGAGCTCATTAAAGTCCAACAATTACTCTATCTTGCAAAGTCAGTAATAATTCCAACATTCAACTAACCCAAATAGTTGTCGTCAAATAATACATCATAGATTGATGGCTAGATTATTGCCGTCAAACTGAAGATTGTTCTAATTTGTGCGTTTTTATTACTCCTTATATCAAACTATCATAATTGTGATAATAACACCAAAAGATTATGAGTCATTTTCGTCACTAATATCTCCAAAATGTTAGGCTTTTTTGAAAAAAAAACATACAATCAAAACAAAAACTAATACATTTTGTAAACATAGAACACGTAACTACTTCATATAGTAACCCCTTTGTCCAAAATTAAGTCGAATTTGATTGGATCACTACTTCATAATAGTAGTATAGATACATTATCTTTATGTATATATTCGTCAAAGCTTAGTAGCTCAACATTTTTACCAATAATTTTCGCTCCTAGCTTGTGTCCGATCCATCATTGAACATATAACCTCATTTTTCGAGAGTAAATTCAAGAATCTATCTATTGTCATTACACACTACTTTTTACCTTAGAAAAAAGTTGTTTCACTCACCAAAATATCTAAAACCTTCCCTAATAAATCTGTACCACTCCTTACTACAACAAAAGTAAATTAGTAGTACCACGTACTATATACGCTCCTTGATTTGACGACTCAATACAAAACATTTAATCAAATCTTAATTTAAATTAGCATTAGACATTTCCAAAAAAAACAACCATAAGACTACCTCCGTAATATATTATTTGTAACGATAAGACATAAAGTGTAAATAAAAAATATTTAATCATTATAAATAATATAAAACGGAAATAATAGTACAGAATAATAAAGAAGTAAAAAAAAATGAACGTACCACAATATTACCAATGTTGGTAGTAGGAAATTGGAGAGGACGACTAATTAAGTAAATCCCACCATCAAGATTAATTTGTACACCACCAAGATTACTAATCCCATCTATTAGCACACCATTGCTTATACTCTTACTAGCATCCGAAAGCGCCTTCATTAACGCTTCCGTACTATCACTCTTCCCCGTTGGATCTGCCCCATATGTCGACACGTGATAAACACGGGTGCTCCCTACCGAACCCTGCACCATCATTATCATTATCGTACCCCATTCAGTGCAACCATTGTATATCATATCTTATGTAGCGCAACCAATTATTATTAAAGTAAAACTTACCGAGGAGGAGGGAGCGAGGGTAGGAGAAGGAGAGATTAATGAGGAAGGTGGTGAAGAAATAGAATCTTTAATACCCTGCATTCTTCTTCTAATATAATCATGATGATCATTTTTGTTACGAAGATTATTATTGTTTGCCCCGTAAACTTCAATTAACATAAGATGACTGATTAATTCCATGATTACAAGACAATTAAGGAGTAGAAGGAGAGTTTTTGTTGTCATTAATGAAGCTTTCATTATCAAACTCTTTAGCTAGCTCTCCTCTACTATAAATTTGTGTGTTGTTGTTCAAAAGGAGAAGGAAGAAGCAAAGAGAAATAAGGTGAATGAAAAGCATAGGTTATAAATAAATATAGTTTTATATAATATGGTTTTTGGGGGAGAAAAAAAAGGTGGGACATGGAAAGAAGAGGGGCTAACTAAAAATGAGACAATTAAGCAAAGAATATGGGATTAAGCTCTTTTTACTAATTGCTCATACATATAACACCTCACTAGTTAGTTTGTCAGTTTTGGTATTAGTTTAATTCAATTATTAATTTGAATTGTATTGGGTGATTAAAAACCTATTTCTATTTCTCTTATTTTGTGTACACTTTGCTTTGATGCATTAACTTCCTTGTTGCTTTTTTATGAAAAAACAATAAAAGTAGAGAAAACAGTTGCCCTTACTTACCAACTTCCAGCTTTATGGATCTAGTGCTTTACAAGTGGCGGGACTTATGTGGTGTTTATTTATGATAGATACTTGTATTAAAATAAGGTTATTGGCAAATATAATTTTTTGCATGTCACCTGTTGTACCGTGCGGCAAAAGTTACTTGAATAACTTGGTCAAGGATTACTCGAATTGTTGGGGTTACTTAAGTTACTCTGTCAAGGGTTACTCAAGTTAATCCTAACCGGGGTATCCCCTCAAGTAACCTCTGAGTCTCTGACCGAGTAACCCTTCGAGTATCCCCTGATTGAACTCTCGAGTAACCCCTAACCGAACTTCTTAAGTAACCCCAATCGAATTACTCGAGTAACTCGTGACTGAACTCCTTAAATAACTCCTAACCAAGTAACTCGAGTAACCCCTAACTGAGTAACCTCTGACCGTGTAACCCCTCGAGTAAATCTAACTGAGTAATTCGAGAAACCCTTGACCAAATAACTCGAGTAGCCCCTCAAGTAACCATTGACCGAGTGAACCCCTCGAGTAATCCCTGTCCATAACCTCAAGTAACCCCTGACCGAATAACTTGGGTAGCCCTTAACTGAAGAACTCAGATAACCCAAAAAAAAATTTAAAAAAAAAAAACTCAGCTAATCCCTGCCACACAGTATGACCTGTTGCACCAAAAAGTTATTGATTGGCAAATGAGTCGAGCGGGTGCGGATATATCCTACAACATACTCATACCCGTCTACAACTTATATATACTCATACTCGTAGTCTGTGAGATAATTACCTTTAATTTTAGACCTGATCTTATGCAACCCAAATTGGCCCAAAAATTGTTCAAGTTTTGGTCAGGTTTTAGGCCCAAATTTTAAGCTTGATCTGACCCAGCCAATTTTTGTTTTTTGTTGTGGGTTTTGGGCAGCTGTAATTTAATTTTAACTACATAGTATAACTTTTTTTTTTTTTTTTTTTTTTTTTTTTTTTTTTTTTTTTTTTGGAATATATAGTATAATTTTTGGTCAAGCACGAATTTTTTTTTTGTTCTTTTTTCTTTTTTTAAAAGTAAAATTCATGAGAGGTTAGGTAAGTTTATTTTACAAGACCATTCCCTAGTATATCAAGAGTAAAAAAATAAGAAAATTTACTATCTAGAAACGGATCCATATCTTGATGAGTCGAAGTTGAATAGTCGAGAGAGGCAACATAATCTGCTGCCCGATCCCTTCCCAATAGATATGATGAAGTTAAATGGCTTGAAAAGCCTACTTTCTTCGTTCGTAATTAATGCATCATTTAACTTTTTTTTAGTGAGAAAAAGGAAGAGAAAGAGAGGGGTAAAAGTACAAAATTATCCATGTGATATAAACCTAAACTAAAGAATCAAGCTTTAAAGTAAATGTATATTGAGTATTTGTATTGTATACACAAATACGGAGTACTTGTTTTCTAAAATAGATATGGTGTAATATTTAGAAACTTTTTTAAAAGACAAATAATGCAATAAAGGAAAGAAGTACTATTTTTTGGGAGAAAAAAATGTCAAAGTTAGAAAAATAGTATGAAACGAATAGAGTACTTCGTATGACAATGAGTTGCACTCGATATTTAAACTGGACATAGACCGAAAAAAACGTAATTTAACACTTGAAAAATAGCCTTTCTTGTGGGAATACCGAGTTAAAGTAATTTTTTACAAGCTCAGCTATACAAATGATGTTACTAGCAAGCTAGACAGTTTTAGGGGGGGGGGGTAAGGTAAGGGAATTCCACCCCGATCCCCAAATTGTCACTAGAAGAGATTGAACCTCTAACCTCATTATTAGAAGGTGCATTCTATTCCACAAGACTAAACTTAGGATTTGTTCTCTTCAACTTGTTTCAGATACTTATTATATATTCCTTAACAAATTCAAACCAAATAAAAAACATTCATATTCGATCAGAACTTTTAATTATTATTTACTTATTAAAATTATGAAGATTACATATTTGAAAAATTCATAATGACATATCTAACAAGATTAATTTTGATAATGTTTTTCTTTATAGATTAGCACTCGTATTAAAATAAGGTCAAAACTTTAGTCAAATTAATAAATCAGATCAAATCAGACCCGATAATAAAAATTCAGATCAAATAACCCGATCAGTCCTTAATAAAATCGAACCAAATCTTCTTTTTGAGGTGAAGAGAACAAGTCCTTAGCACACTAGAATAGGATAGTGCAAGTACTCGCATATTGAAACCGAAGAAGTATATGATAGAATACTACAATTACGAATGTCATCCCAAGCAGCAAGATGAGTTAACGGCCACAAATGGCTTCTTCCTTCAACACACTACAACGGCGGGAACTTCTCTCTCATACTCTCTGTAAGTCTTTCTCTACTTCCTCAATTCCCCAATCCCACCATTCTTTTGCATTTTCATCTCCCAAACATGCCCTTCCTCCATTCAAGTTATCTCCTTTCTTTTTGGTTAATGCTCCTGTGACTGTCATTAGCCCTGTTAATTCTAAATCTTCCTCTAGATTGGACTGTAATTCTTCAACTGAAACTGTAGATTTTAGAGATTTTAGTGATAATTTGGGTTCTGGGTATTCATCTTCTGTCCAAAAGGGTGAAAAAAATGGGGGAGGGTTTGTAGATTATGGCAAGAATAATAGGAATTCTGGTGGGAAATTGAATTTTAGGAAAAGAAGTGAAAATGGGTCTGAAATTTCTTCTGCTAAGAGGGGAAGTAGAAAGTGGGAGAGAAAAATGGAGGAGATTGTGGGAAAAGTTGCTATAAATAGTAATGTGGAGGATGTTAAGGGAGATAATAGTGGTTTTGAAAAAAAGGGTCAAAAGGGTTCTGGGGTTTCTTCTAGAAGTGTTAGAGATGCTAATTCGATGTCGAAAGTTGTTAATAGAAGTGTAGATAGAGGTGCCATTAGAGATGGTGGTGATGCTTCTAAGGTAAAGAAAAAGGAGAAATTGTCTAAGAAGTGTATTGTTAATTCACCAGAGTTTCATATGAGGAATAGCTTGGACATGTGCTCCAAAAGGGGTGATGTCTTGGGTGCAATTTCGCTGTATGATTCGGCAGTTAAGCAAGGGATAAAGATGGGGCAGTACCATTATACTGTGCTCTTGTATCTGTGTTCTAGTGCTGCAATGGGGGTTGTTCGACCGGCTAAAAGTGGTAGTGGCAGTAGGAGTTTAGATGCAGTTCCCTCTCAAAAGTTAGATGGGACAAATGACTCTGGTGAGGAGGAAGACGATGATATAGATGATGAAGCTCGAGATAGAAAGGATCAAACTCAAAAGTTAGAAGTAAATGAGATTAGGGTAAGTGATGATGTAAGGAAGTTTGCCCGTAAAAAAGGGTTTGAAATTTATGAGAGAATGTGCTTGGATAAGGTGCAGATGAATGAGGCTGCTTTGACTTCAGTTGCTAGAATGGCAATGGGCGTGGGTGACGGAGACAAGGCTTTTGATATGGTAAAGGAGATGATTTCAATTGGGATAACCCCAAAATTGAGGTCTTATGGTCCTGCTTTATCTGTTTTCACCAGCAATGGAGATATTGAGAAAGCCTTTGCAGTTGAAAAACACATGTTGGAGAATGGAGTTTATCCAGAAGAGCCTGAACTGGAGGCCCTTCTTAGAGTAAGTATTGAAGCTGGTAAAGCTGACCGAGTGTATTATGTGTTGCATAAGCTTAGAACAGTGGTGAGGTATGTCTCACCTTCTACTGCAGATTTGATTGAAAAATGGTTTAATAGCAAACAAGCATCGAGAATTGGGAAAAGAAAGTGGGATCATGATATGATTACTCAAACAATGGAAAATGTTGGTGGTGGGTGGCATGGGAAAGGATGGTTAGGTAGAGGAAAATGGAGTGTCTCACGAACTTCCATCGGAGTTGATGGTTTATGTAGATGTTGCGGGGAAAAGTTGGCCTTGATTGACCTTGATCCTGATGAAACAGAGAGGTTTGCTGAATCAGTTGCAGCTATAGCAGCAAAGAGAGAGAAGCATTCTAGCTTCCAAAATTTTCAAGTATGGGACTCGTAGCAATTCTATATTTTTCCATTATGTTACGGTTTATTACACAGATTTTTGATTGGGAATGTTCCTTGCAGAGGTGGCTAGACTACTATGGTCCATTTGAGGCTGTAGTGGATGCAGCTAATGTCGGTCTCTTCAGTCAGAGAAACTTCCAACCTGGGAAGGCATGTATTATACCAACTTTTCCCCCGTTTGATTGAAAGTCTATCTTCCTCCATCATTATAGATTATTTGCTCTGACCTAGGTTATGTTGCTTGCAGGTAAATGCTATTGTGAATGGGTTGCGCCAAATGCTTCCTTCTAGAAAGTGGCCACTCATCGTTCTGCACAATAGGCGAGTTACTGGAAGCAAGCTAGATAAACCTATGAATAAGGAATATGTTGAAAAATGGAAAAATGCTGATGCACTTTATGCGACACCAACTGGATCAAATGATGATTGGTGAGTTAGTTGTTTCTCATTAGGATAGTTTGTGTCTATGTCCTCTAGAAATTCTTTTTTGAGCAATTGACGTTCCACATTTTTACATGCTCTAAATTGGTGTTATTAATAACTGGTTTTGCAGGTACTGGTTGTATGCAGCTATAAAGTTTAAGTGTCTACTTGTGACTAATGACGAGATGAGAGACCATACATTCCAGCTCCTAGGAAATGACTTCTTTCCTAAATGGAAAGAAAGGCACCAGGTGATCAAAGCTTTGCAAACTCAAATGAACCTTTTTTAATCAAGACTGAAATCATTTTGTTACAAGACCTGAGGGATGCCTAAGTGTTTAACTACTGTTCTATTACACCTCGCTTCAATTTGTCGAGGAAATTTTATCCCATTTTTCTCTCAAGAAGGAAAAATACATATCTTTTAGTAGAGGTCTCATTGATTTTCTCTGTTTTCTGTTTGAAGGTTCGGTTTAGCTTCTCAGAAATTGGCCCTATTTTTCACATGCCACCACCATGTTCTGTTGTTATCCAGGTTAGAATCTTCTTAGAATCTATCTTTGCTGCAGATAATAAAACTTTTAGTCTAATATTTGTATTTATTGTTTTGAATTCTGGCTCTGAACAGGAATCAGGGAGCGGCCACTGGCATATTCCCATTGCTTCAGAGCACCAATATGAAGAGGATAGAACATGGTTGTGTGCCACACGCCCAAACTCTCATATCGGAAGCCAGAGTCACATAGTTGGAGCAAATTCAGCAGAAGGTAATCCTGGAACTTACTGAGACACGACTGCTGTTATTGTTTATCCTTTAAGGAGTTAATAAAACTGATTTTATTTAGATTCCAAAGAGGATATCAAAGACCAAAGGCAATAGAGTAGCTCAAATTCTTACTCTTCTCAACAGGTTAAAGCTCCATTAGCAGCTTTTTGTAAGAAGGTTACTGACAAGTAGTTCCTGTAAGTCACAGAGATCTCAGAAATACGCTATCAGGATCTTCATCATCAAAATAAGACCATCTCCCATTCTTGAATGCTATAAAGGCTGCTGAGAATCGTGCTGGGCATGTGATAGATTTTCAGATAAGACATGATATAACCTAACATGATTACTCTTCACATTTTGGAAAACTGCTTACTCAAACTCAGCAATCTTATGCTCTTATGAAGCTAAAAGTTTTGCTGATGAATTTGGTATGGAGAAATATTACTTGTCCTTGCTCTCTGGTTTGGCAACCGCCAATTCCTGATGCTGTGCTAGATTGAAGCTTCTTACATTCTAGGTTATTGGCGAACACATGTTTTAGGATTGTGGAAATAGCATCTTAGTGTCATTACATGAGTTAGCTCAAGGAACTGTAAATTTCAGCAGCTGCTCTTCTTTTTCTATCAATATATATTGGAGAATCTTATTGGATTTCTCTCCAAAGTTTATACTACAAAGAATTTTTACATTGCATCTTCACAACTCTTGTACATTGAGGTCACTACACGTCCACACCATTGGGGTTGGTGAAGGACCAACACACATGGCCTCAGCCCGGCTAAAGCTCAGTCCAGATTTAAAACGGTATGCGTTGGTTACCATGCAGTGCGGTCCATGGGCTCAAGCTTATTTAATATAACAACCTAGACTAAGCCCACTTCCGGCCTGGGCTCAGCTGAGTAAGCTTTTCTTCTAGTAAAAAAATTCAAACCGTTGAAAATACTTCAAAATAATGAGCCTGAAATGGACCAGTCCATCCAAAACCTTATCTATTTCTTGCCTATGTTTTATTATCCTAGCCCATCCTCGCCTAGTCTGATCTAGTCTAGTCTGCATCCCACTTGACACTCGGACTGGTTTGTTACTTCATCTACTTGAACATACATATGTGCAGTGTAACACATAGAATGTTGTTAGTGAATATTTTTTTCAATTTCGATTTTTTAAGGAATATTTAATTGCTAAAATAATGATTAATTTACCTACTTTTCAAGTTATCATGACAAAGACAAGGTGAAAAAACACAAGTTCACGGGTGCTTCATATTATTTAGAATTATTTAGCATTAATGGTTAAAGAAGTGGATTTTTGGGGCCATGTGTTTTTTTGTTTACTTCTATGCATTTGTTGTATTGTTGTCACAAACTGCCAGATTAATCACGAGCCTATAGTTTCCTGTTAAACTTCCTTCCTATCACCAGAAAACACACGTCAATCATTTTTGAAAGATGAGAAAATATTAAAGGAATCATATAACAACAGTTTAATACTCCATACTACAGTTTTATATTTCTTCATAATATATTCTTCATCTTCTCTTGAAAACTGAGAGTGAAAGAGAGATTGAGTAATAATGTTGGAGTTTGGCATTCATGCAAATGGCAATCTTGGAGCTAATTCTGAGGACTCTCTTCGATTCCTCAAGTCTCTTAAGGTATGGTTTCGATTGGTGTTATTTATGTTTAGTTAATGTTAACTGTTTTTAATATTCGCATCTTACAGATAGCCCTTAGCGCTGCATATATTATTATATTTCTCAGGTGTTCTAGGCTTAATCTTCAGACAGTTTTCAGAATTTTGAGAGCTTATCATATTGTCATGTACATTACTATTGTTTATGTTTGGCTAATTATTTGTCTAATTCATCAAAACTGTGTAGGAGTTAAAGGAATTGAGGGCTCAGATCCATACTGCAGCTGATTATTGTGAGAAATCTTACAAAAATTCCGAGGATAAGGCGATGTGAGTCGTAGTTTTTCTCACTCATTTGCAGAAAGTTAAAGAGGGTTGCATATAATAATGCTAAGTTTTCTGGTTAATGCAGAGTTTTGGAGAATACAAAAGAATACTTATGTAGAGCAGTTGTTACAGTTGTTGATCACCTTGGAAGTGTTTCTGCTAATCTTGATGGCTGCATACAAAAGAGTGACCGCGTCAATGAAACTGAGCAACGAATTAGTTGTCTAAAACATGTTAGTAATATGAAGGCTAAACGTTCTCTATAACTGCTTAAGAACTGATTTTAGTGTCTTTTTATTTTTTTCTGTATTGTAAAATCGATAACTTTGTGTTGGAACAGAAACTTGATTCATGTGATCAGTACAATCACAACTTCACCCTGACTAAGATACGGTGGACTAAGGATTTGCCAAGATATTACACTCGATATATCTCACCACCATGTATGTTGTGTGTGTGCGCGCGCGTGTGTGTCTTTTTATAAATGTTTTCCGATTATGAGTATGGGAAGAAACTGGAACTCATTATTTGTTTTTTTGCTTTTAAAACAGCTGATTCAAGTAAAGAATTGAGGTCGGATTTGAGGTACTCTTTCTCGAGTCTTTTTTCTATGTGGAATTTTGTAAGAAAAATTTGTATACATGCTTTTATGCTTTGTTTTAGTGTTTGGTTGGAATTAGGAGGAAAATTATTTTCTATGAAAATTTGTTTTCGCATATACCTCTGTTTGATATGTAAAGGGAGGGAGGGTGGAATGTAATTCTTTGAGGTTGAAAATAGTTTTCCCAAGGGTGGGACGTGGAAGTGTTTTCCTTTTATGAAGCCACATTTTCCTCCCTACACCTTCTTCCTATTCTCATGCCCTTCATCCCCTCCCCATCTTTTTTTTCTACCGAGGAATTGATCATAGGAATACGAAGATGAAAGCAGTATTATTCAGTTCAATTTAATTTCTTTGAGCGAACACAACCGTTGAGTTCTAAATTGCTAGAATAGTTTTGGTAAACTGCATATTAGGATTGTACACTTTTATGAGATCTTGTGCTTATTTAGGGAACCTAATCTGCCAACCAATATCAAGGGATTTCTTAGTGAGCCTGAGTTCAAGACTATTGAAGAAATGCCACTTTTCATGTATACAAGCTTTAACAAGATTCGTCTAGGTACAAGTCCAAGGTCACCACTTGACATTGCTCCCAAAGAAATCACTGGTAACACACTTTTCTGTTTTTAATTTGAATTCTGATTTCATGCTTCTTTGGTCTATGATCTAACACGTTTATGCATCTCTTGTACACTAGTCATGCCCGTTCGTGAAGGATTCTCTGTTGCACCCAAGTTGATTCGGAATCCTTCTTTCCATTTCCAGGTGAATGTTGCTTGTGGTTTCATAGTCATTCATAGTTCTTACAACAACATTTTCATAGGAAGCTGACCTTTGTTTTCGGCTTGAAATTGTAGGATAATAGGAAACCCGGTGGGATCAGAAGACTACTACTGTCAATACAGAGGAAATCTGTGAACGATGAAGAAATCAGATCTGTTCCTCGAAGAAGTAAAAGGGGGGCATCAAGATTGCTTAGGCTTAAACTTTAAGCTTCATTTCGAGTTTTCATTGAAGAATGTAAAGTGTCCTTTGTCTTTATGAAAATATACAGTTGTTTACATCAGTCACCCTGCAAGATTGTAAGCGGTTTGAACTCTCCAATGTCACATAAACTCAGAAGCGGGCATGGAGGATGAACACTGCATAAACATGTAAATGATAAGACTGTACTTGTGGATAGATGCTATATATTATGCTTCAATGAATGTTGCTTTTGGTATGTTTCAAAGATTGTTCTAACATTTCCATTACATATTTTCTCCCCTTTGTTTATAACCCTTCAAATTCATGGGATGTGTAATTTTGTATATTAAATTATTAACCAATTAAGTGCCTGTTGAGATGTCAAAGAGACGAGCCATTACATTCTGTTTTAGGATTTTAGTATACTTTCTTATGTTGTTGGCTCTCTACATTTTTGACGTTGTCAATGACTTGCGTCGATATGATAATGACTTTTAAATTACCTGGCATATTCAAGTAAGATCATCTTCTAAAACACCTAAATTTAACCGAAAAAATTTAGGTCCATCTCAAGGAATGAAACTCCCTTAATGTAACAACTTTTACATGGAGTAATGCTTTCTATGTCTAATCAAACGATAAGCTCACAATCAACCAACTAAAACTTATAAGTGTTTCGAATCTAGTGATAGTGAGCATTCTTTGTCTTATCTCTTTGGAATAGAAAGCTCTATATAAAATCTTAAGCATTTTGCAATGGGAAATTTGGTATCACATGGGTAATGTTGGTTCATGGCTTCATGCACAGCACTACTCAACAAAGAGAGCCACCGGTAATTGCCTAATTTGGATTTGCCATTTAAATTTTGTCATTTTGTAGAGCTTATATTGTAATTGTTGAATATGACTGTAAACAAAAGTACAAAACTACTCCCTAATGCGAAGTATTTACTATTTAGTAATACTAAAACATAATTGTACTAAAGCACGGGATATTTATTCATTGTTATGAATATTTGAATATTTGGTTTCTTACAAAAATAAATGTAATATTGATCCTCTATTAAATTAAAAAAAATAAAGAAAACACAAAGGTAAAGGATTGGGGTTTTGAAATGTTGTGGTGAAATGTTAAAAAAAAACAAAAAAAAAAAAAACAGAACTCTTGAATTATTTTACACCTTTCAAAAAAATAAAAATAAAAATAAATCATGATTCACTTTGTAGGAAAATAAATTCTTATATGTGGCTGGCCACGCCGCCACGGTTAGGGGTTACTTCGTTAGTTTTATAAGAGTTACTTGTTCAAGGTTATAAGGGTTACTTCGTCAAAATTATAGTAGTAGGGGTTACTTCGTCAGTGTTATAAGGGCTACTCAGTTAGTATTATATAATGGTTACCCGATTAGTATTACACGTGACGATTGTTATTAGACGAAGTGTCATTATTAGTTGGTAAATAACCACCTTACTTAATTGTTATTGTATTTATCCACCTTTAAAAAGTAAAAAAAAAATTATAACTTTTACCACCACATAACGATTTTCATCAAGAGTTATTTTATATTTTTTTAGTTTCGGGATAGGTTGAAGGTTAGGAGGAAGAGAGAAATAAGGCGATGTGCGACAGGGGGAGGGGGATCGGCGCCGGTGGAGGTTAGATCTAGATGCGGCCGGCGCCGAAGGGTGGCAGTGGACTAGCGGTGGCTGGGTTGGGTTGGGTGGGGAATGGGTTTTCTAAAATAAATAAATAAATAAATAATCACATTAAATTACTAAACTAATGAAATTTCGTGTCTAGTATAACCTGGCTATCAAGTCATTAACGGTTATAAATTATTTTAGGCAGTACCCCCCCCCCCAAACTTTGTATTATTTTGAAATAATTAAAAGTTTAACTTATTTTTAACGAACTGCTCAAAATTTGTATTATTTTTGACAAATTTTCCCACGTCATATTGAACAAAGCTTAACAGGTGGCCACACCATCAAACAACAGTAAATTTAAAAAACATAGGAGTACAAAAATAAAAATAAATACTACGTAAATTGTTAAAAAAAATATATATATATTTTAAAAAATAAAAAATAAATAAAGAGTTCAAAAAAAAGCATGAAAGTTGTTGTCGACTCCATTTTCCTCTTCTCCAAGCCAAATTAGCCAGAGTGCGCCCACCGTTTTAACTCCAGTCACCTGATCATAAAATTCCCTTTCTCTATTTATATTTAGTATTTATTCATACATTTCTCTCTCCTCTTTTCAATTTAATCTCTTCTACTAGTCACAACAATCTTCTTCTTCAATGGATTCTGTCTTTGCTAATGTTGTTCAAGCCCCTGAAGATCCCATTTTAGGGGTATCATTTTTTTTTTTTTTTGATGATCAATTTGCTCATTATTTTCATATTTTTGTTTTCTTGATCAATTATTGCTTTATACTTTGTTGATTAGCATTTCCTTGATATTTCTCATTTTTTATTTGGGTAATTGATATTAATGATATATATAACTCTTTATTTGAATCTAATAGTGATATCATTGTAATTGATTGTAATGAAATAAAGTATATTTAATGCTTATAGTTTTTAAAATTGTTTCTTTTTTTAATTTTATTTTTCTGATGATGAATTTGGTGATGAGCTAGAATATTTGGTTAAGATGATTTTTCTGTGGAAAAAAAAATGATCAATTCATGATTGTGTCATTTTAATAATCTAATGAAATCTATTCAATGTGTAGTTATCAAAAATTGATTATGGTGTTTTTTTTTTTTTTTTTTTTTGGTTAAAAAAAAAAGGTGACAGTTGCTTATAACAAGGATCCAAGTCCAGTAAAGCTGAATTTAGGAGTTGGTGCTTATCGAACTGAGGTACATTCATTTTACAACTAGTTCAATTATATTTTTAGTTTATGAATTTAATAATTTGAACTATGAATTATTAAAATTGCTGGAATTGATGATAGGAAGGAAAGCCTCTTGTATTGAATGTAGTCAGAAAAGCTGAGCAATTGTTGGTTAATGATCCGTAAGTATTTTTGTTATCAAAGTCGTGATTCGGCTTGTTTCGTATAACTAATCTTGTTTACTTTGTGGTATTGATTCATTTGCTTTTAATATGATTGTAAGGTCTCACTTGAAGGAGTATCTTCCGATTCTCGGGTTGTCTGACTTCAATAAGCTTTCTGCAAAGCTCATTTTGGGGGCTGATAGGTAACCCTTTGGAGTTTTCTTGTTGATAGTTGTTTCATTTTCGTGTGTATAATACTTTTTCCGACCATTGGTAAATTGGTAATGGTTAATTGGTTATGTATGTGATTTTGTGATGTTCGGCGAAAATTGTGATCTTTTCCTTATATTTATGTAGTACTCCATATGTCAGGATTCATTAGTCACTATGAGGATGTCCAAATAAAGTTGTTACAGTTTTTTTTTTTCTACAGATTAATGATTTATGATTGGACGTCTAATATGCCACTACTTATATCAAGTAAAGAGATTTCTTTGTAATATATGTCATATCCTTGATTATGATTTATGAGGAGTTTAGAGTGTTCAGACAATGTGATAACTATTTCTAAACAGAGGGATTGATATTTTTTTTTTTAATTAATGAGAGGAGTGTGCAAATGAACAAACTATTCGTAAAATTAAGGCATACCTTGAATAATTAGGTGTTTAGAATGTGACAACTATTTGTGAATGGTAAGGTTAAGTCCTATCTTGCTTAACCAAAGATACATCTTCCTTGCTGTCATATGCTCATATCCTTTGTAATCATCATTAATAGACCTAGGCTTAACTTATGCTCTGGATAAGACTTCCTTAGCCTCATGGGCCCATATATGTTAGGTGTGCTGACTCCTAAATTAACTTCTTTCTTTTGAATGGAAATTTGATGGGTTGTTAATTACAATATCTGGTCAGACTACCCTTTTTTTTTTTTTTTTTTTTTTTTAATCTAGATTTGTAATATAAAGTAGAAGTGACACAAAGACTACATGGGTTGGTTCATTGTATAGTCCTTGACTCCTTGTGTTCTTGCAATCTTGCTGCTAGCGCATGGTTTTAATGACACTGATTGATATTTAGATTAATTTTCAAGGCCTTGAGATATTCTGTGTACTACTACTCTTTATTATGATGCTTATATTTCATTGCAACTCAGGGTTGTTTACCTTGAAGTTATGACTTTCTTTTGCTTTCTAAATGGTTAAAAAGTTGTTCCTTGTACTTCTTGAAGTTTATGGATCTAGTTATACCGCTTTTGCTTTCTCTTATGTTCCTAGTGATTCTCGTTTCCTACAGCCCTGCTATATTGGAGAATAGGGTTGCTACTTCCCAGTGTTTGTCTGGTACTGGGTCACTTAGGGTTGGAACTGAATTCCTTGCAAGGCATTACCACCAAGTATGTTCTCATGGTTTGCTTCAACGTTTTGATAAGAAACTATGTACTTTTCTTGCAAAACAGGAAAACACAAAAGACTACATACTGATGGGATGATTAAAATTACTTGTGTAATTGATTTTCAGCGCACAATATACATTCCCCAGCCAACATGGGGAAATCACCCAAAAGTTTTCACTCTAGGAGGGCTTAGTGTAAAGAGTTACAGATACTATGACCCAGCAACGCGAGGTCTAGATTTACAAGGTAAGAATCCATTGTCTTGAGTTCATTCTACAATTTCTCATAATTCCTATCTTGTTTTGCTTTATTTTTGCATTACTCCAAGTCCCAACAAGTTATTCTGTTAATTAGAAGTAATTCATATAAATACTCTTTTTCCATTAAAACAGGTCTCTTAGAGGATCTAAATGCTGCTGAGTCAGGAGCAGTAGTGCTTTTCCATGCATGTGCTCATAATCCAACTGGTGTTGATCCTACCCTGGAACAATGGGAACAGATAAGACAGCTAGTAAGATCAAAAGCGCTGTTACCTTTCTTTGACAGTGCCTATCAGGTAATATCACTATTCTATATTTTAATTGTGGTAGTAGATTTGGGTGTAGGTTATGAAAATAATCTTTGACATGAGCTCTGATGTACTGCAGGGCTTTGCTAGTGGCAGTCTTGATGAAGATGCACAGTCTGTACGTATGTTTGTTGCTGATGGAGGTGAATGTTTCATAGCTCAAAGTTATGCAAAAAATATGGGTCTTTATGGGGAACGTGTTGGTGCTCTCAGCATTGTAAGTCATTGTATTACATTTAATGTTTTGCTGAAGTTGATGGATTATAAAGATAATGAATTACGAAGTATTACTTACTATGATTTCAATTGGTAGGTCTGCAAGACAGCAGATGTTGCAAGCAGGGTGGAAAGCCAACTGAAGCTTGTGGTTAGACCGATGTACTCCAATCCCCCTATTCATGGAGCATCTATTGTAGCCAAAGTACTCAAAGACAAGTACGTATTTTCATTTTATCGATAATTTGACAAGTGAAATTTGCTTAATCCAAATGAGCAAAATTAATAGCACAACTAGAAGTGGCCTGAAAACAACGACAAGTTTTTTTTCCCCTTGTGTATAATAGGTCCATCCTTGTACTAATTGGAATTTTTTTATATTGCTTTTCTGAAAGCTGCTCTGGCATTGAGCAAATAATTAAAAAGTATAAAGTTATCACGCTAAATTTGTTTTTGTTACTCAACATGGATGTTAATTTTCTTCAGGAGTTTGTATGATGAATGGACTGTTGAGCTTAAGGGAATGGCTGATCGAATCATCAGCATGCGCCAGCAGCTCTTTGATGCAATAACTACTAGAGGTAAGGATTCTTGAGGAATGACTAGTGACTTATAGTAATACAGGCTTGTGTGCTGCCAGTGGTTCTCTTCTATCTAGTTCTTATTAGGAGCTGGCAACATAATCGTCAAGATTTTACAAATCTTTATTAATATGGCTTGACTGCAGATATCCTTGGTATATTAATCACAGCATGAACTATATTTTTCATCTCTTCATCTGAATGATGCGAATTGCATCAGTTGAGACAGATTAAACATAGCATTGTTCATTTTCCCAAATGTGAAGTGTCTTTCTGCAACATTATATCAATAATGTGATCTTTTTGAAAGGTACACCTGGAGACTGGAGTCACATTATCAAACAGATTGGGATGTTTACTTTTACTGGCTTAAATGCTGAACAAGTTAGTTTCATGAGGCAAGAGTACCATATCTACATGACATCTGATGGGTAAGAACACATTTGTTTATTCAGTAGTTGGTATATCACAATCTGAATTATTCCTCATTCCTAGACACACATGCACACATATACCAGTGTAGCAGAGGGTGAGTGAAGGGGATTTATTGCTCCTCTGATGTTTCATTTCTGTAATGTCCATTCAGTTTACAAGCTCATGTTCTATAGTTAACTAATTGATAAACTTTCTAACAACTAACGAAAAAAAAAAGTTGGTTGGGAGGAATGAGATTCTTGAATATAGGCTATTTCATGCTCTAATTTAAGGGTGCAAAACTTGATTCTGACATAGTGACATAGGATTATTGTCTCTTATGTGTTATGACTTAGATTTTTTAAATATTGGTTACTCGCAGGAGGATAAGTATGGCCGGTTTGAGCTCTCGGACTGTTCCTCATCTTGCTGATGCTGTACATGCTGCTGTTACCCGGGTTGCCTAGAGTAAAACTCAAATTTTGCTGAACGGGCTGATGAGCTCACTTACTTTCCCTTTTCGAGAATCTCTATACACCACCTATTTTACTTGTTTGTTGTTTGTAATAAAATTTTCCTGGATTGGGAGCTTTACATGTACTAGGTTGAGCTCAATATTTTTGAAAAGTTGGCCTTTCCTGAATTTCAGATAATAAAACACTCCGTATAAGATGAGTGAAATTGTCTTCGAATAGATTTTCTACGGATGATCATTTTAGATAGTCATGTAAGTTACATAAACTCCTTATTGTCTTTCAATAATACAACAAAATTATTGTGACCACCAATTACCATTTATTAATACAACCATATTCTATTATGATATTCATTACATATTTGTTGCCACTACCAAACCACCACAACTAATCACTTAATTAGAAACAATGCTACCATTTTTTTGTCACTTTGTGTCAATAATCACATTGTAGAAATAAACCATGATAAAATAAACCATGCTAAAAAGAAAAATTGATAACAAACATACACTATGTAGATGGGATGGGTCAATCCCAAAACATGTATTCTTGAGCCCTTGTAACAAATTGGAGGCATAAGTCCCTTGAAACAGCATTTTCTTAAAGTTTTACTCGAACAAGAAAACTACCATAAGAGCCACAACTAACATCATTATGTTATTGCCACCACACATGAAAAAAAAGCCAATAATGCCAACATTGTTGAGAATTGAACATGTGACTATATGTGAGTACAAGAAAAAAGGTGCGATGATAAAATCTTCAAAAGGGCAGTTAGGCTTGACCCAAGCTCACATGTCATCTTGTTAGGTTGAGTTGTATCATGTCGTGCTTAAATCAAATTTAACTTATATTAGTGTATTTTGTTTGTGTGTAATGTCATGCCTTGTCGTAATTCTTCAAATAAAAAATTAGCTCAAACTCGACTCATGACAGTATCGTATCATATGAGGATTTTATTTTTTTCGAGCCGGTCGTGAACCCGCTAAATCTTTAGTTTTCCATACTCCAAATATGCCGGGAACCCTAAATTTGAAGAAAATAAAGTTCTAAACTTTTACTCACTTTCAAAAGAACATAAATTTGCATCCCCAAAAATGTCAAAAACAATGTAAAGCAAACTTAAGCAGTACAGTTTCATCTCTGTTCATTTCACAATTCAAGCTTCTCTCCCTCGTTTCATTATTCAAATGGCAAAGAATGTATCTTTCATCATCTCTTACCTCCGCCAAAACCCTAAACCCTCTTTTAGACACTTTTCTATGATATCCCAACCTCAAAATCAAATACAAGAACAACAATTGATTACAAAAATTGCTGGAGAAGTTTGTGAAATCATTCAAACTCGCCCCAAATGGGAGAATACACTAAGTTCTCTCTTCCCATCTTTCAATTTCTTGGACCCCAGATTCTTCAATGAGGTACTTAAGCTTCAAAAGAATGCATTTTTCTCTATTCGTTTATTCAATTGGCTTAAATCTCAATCTGGGTATTCCCCTGATCCCATTTCTTGTAAGTCTTTGTTTAATGCTCTTGTTGAATCTAAGGCTTCTGTTGTTGCGAAATCGATTTTCGACTCGTATCCTAAGTTGTTTAATCCTGACTCAGATTCATTAGAGTCTTTGATTTGTTATTTGTGTAATGATGGTTATGTTAATGAGGCTGTTGATTTGTTTGAAAAATTGAAATTAATGGGGTGTTGCCCATCAATTGTAACTTGGAATACCGCCTTTTCCGGGGCGGTTCGAGTTAAGAGAGCTGATATTGTTTGGAGTTTGTATGGGGAGATGATGAATACTGTGGTTGTTGCTGATGTTGAGACTGTTGGGTATTTGATTCAAGCTTGTTGTATTGATAACAATGTCGAGAGAGGGTATGAGCTTTTTCGACAAATTCGGAATGGTGGGGTTGTTCCTGATAATGTTGCTTTGAATACATTGATTAGGGGGCTTTCTATTAATGGAATGCATGATAGAGTTTCTGAGCTTTTGCATTTGATGATTGAAACAAATCATAACCCTGATACTTTTACTTATCAAGAAATAATTCATGGTCTTTGTAAATATGGGAAATTGAGTGAAGGGTATCGGATTTTTAATGATCTCAAGGCTAGAGGGTATGCTCCAGATAGGGTGATGTATACAACCATGATTCATGGCTTTTGTAAGAAAAAATTGCTTGGAAAAGCTAGGGAATTGTGGGTTGAAATGAAAAAGAGGGGTATACTTCCAAATGAGTATACTTATAATGTGCTTATTCATGGATATTGTCTAATCCATAAACTTGAAGAGGCTTTGAAGCTGGTAAAAGAGATGTGTGATAGAGGTTGTAAATTGAACACTGTAAATTATAACACCTTGATTGCTGGATTGTGTAAGGATAGACAAATAAAAGAAGCTTGTGAGTTGTTTGAAGAAATGACTCAGAGTGGTGTTGCTCGTGATGTACTTACGTACAACTATCTTATACAAGGTCTCTGTATGGAAGGAAATGTGGTTAAGGCTCAGATGCTCTTTGAAGAGCTTTTGGCACATGGATTGCTGCCTTCAACTTCATCATATGCACCTTTAATTAAACAACTTTGTCGCCAGGGAGGAACTCAGCAAGCGTTAAAGCTACTGACTGATATGGTGAACAGGGGTGTTGAACCTTCGATATACAACCGCGAGTGTGTTATAGATGGATTTTGCAAGGAAGGATTACCAATCGAAGGGATGAATTGGTTGTTAGAGATGTTAGATAGGAAGCTTATTCCAAGTCGGAACATCTTTTTGAAACTTATTATATGTCTTCTTCAGCAAAATGAGCTGGATTCTGCTCTTGTTGTTTTGAATTTTATGGTGCAAGTAGGCTATACGCCTGGGGAAATTCCATGTCGTTCCCTTGTTAGTAAATTTTGTAGTAGTGGTTCAAACCATGTCAAGTTGCTTCTCCATGATATCATCTCCAGTAGCCAGCTTTCTTAGCCTTTTCGCATGAATGTACAGCCTTGATTTTTATGGTTGCAAATTCTCACCATCATACTTTTGGATCTCATTGCACTGGAAAGAAATTGTGTTTGTAGAGGTTGTTCCCGATTTTCATTTATCCGGCTCATACATTCTCTTTTAAAGAGAAGAAAGTTTGGTTATGATCAAAAGCTGACTTAGGGCTCTCAACAGTTTGCTTTGGTGCGCAGATAATGAGATATTGAGCAGTAGTGAGCTATTGGCAAGTAGTTTCTTCGTCTGCTTACAACACAACCTTCTATATACAAAGTGCTAATATTTTGCACCAACTAAACCTGGCAAACTTAAAAGTTGCATTTTCTCAGAAAGTGCTTCATGCGAAAGAGATACTGATATACTGGTAGCCCGTACTACAGTGATTGCACTTACCCTCCTGTCATGGTCTTTTATGCTGCTACTTATGGAACTCCTCAGGAAAATTCTGGTCTAGTGCTTTTTGCTCTTTATGGTGTGTACGTGAGTAGTAAACCAATACCTTGAATTATCATAATCATTCTCCCTGCTGTATTTGTTTGTTTAGATTTGATGTTCCAACACTTGTACTTCTATTCTCATTGTATTTTTGTTATGTTCTTGATCTTTTGACCTCAATTATTTGATTTAGATTGAGGTTGTTTGTTCAGTTTTAAAATGGGAAGAGCTGATGATAGCACTGCTTCACATCTTATTGTTTGTTTGTGTGTATTAATTTTAGTTTCTTATGTTTCATTTAGTTCAGATGAATTAGAAATTGTGTGTTAGGAGTTAGGTCTGGTGGAAAAAGTACAAAATAGTCGTCCTTTTTATATGTTAATTACTTTCTCTAATCCAAAATATGTCATTTTAGAGCTATGTATTAATAGTTTAGGATTATATGGCATGGGCCTGGTCCTTCTCTAATGAATACGCTCAACCAGATTAGTTTTTACAAAGTTATAAAGTAGCAATTGTATGATGGTATCTGCCATAGTATTTGTTTGAAGGAGAAAGATGCTTGTGATTATAAAGGGGTATGATGATCAAATTGTGAAAACTCTAGAAGGAAACTAAATAAGAGAAAGGAATCTGCGAAGAAAACTCTAATTTTGCATCAAAAGGAGTTTTTGCCATATTTCCTTGAGTATGTGATCTATGCCTTCCTGACTTAATTCAATGAGTTGACCACTGTAATTTGATTTCCTGACATCAGATCATGTAGAAAACATACTTCACTTTGATTACCATTTCTTTCACTTTTTAGTTCTTATCTTGTTCTTTTTATCTAATTATTCCTCTGTTCTGTTTAGCTAATGTAACATGACTTTGCAAGCAAATTTAACTGTGATGATGTCTGCATCTAACTGATGACAATGTTGAAAATGAATCCTGCATATTTTCAATCTCTGTTTATATATGCACTTGAATTAGGTCCTGTCTAAGGCTCTTTTTATCTGTTGTGTTCCTTTGGACAGGTTACCTAAAGATCTCAAGTCAAATCATCTGGCAGATTGGAACTTTCACTTTTATTGACTTTGTATGTGGAGCAATTAAGGATGAACAGTATCGAAACTGCATGGGAGTAAGATATGTTAATTTTTTGAGGACTTTTTATTATTGATTATACACATGTATGATGTATGAATATGCTGGCCGATGTTATTAGGGTATCAGACAAGGCTTAGTTCTTCATTTGTCTGTGGATGTTAATGGATTGTTACATATAAAGAAGCACTAGTGCATTTAAGATAAGAAAATATTTCTTTTTTAAATGGCTCATCATTTGATCAATCAATCAAGTCCATGTTTGTTGAAATATGTTCACTCTCACACACAAACATGACTTGATTCTTCTCTCTTTTTGGGTTAAGGGGTTAGAGAGTTGAGAGGAACTATCTATGTCAGAGGACAAAACATGCCACAGTTAAGAATCTGCTACAAAAGAAGTATGAAACATATGGTATCTAATTTTATCAATACCACTTCTCTGTTTTGAATTTTGTACAATAGACCTCATTAGGTGCTGCCAGTGCTGGGAATATATTGTTTGGAACACCAACCTTCTGTTTCACCCTATCCAAGATGATGCAATTTGCCAGTGAAAGTGAATAGAATTACTCTCCTCGTGATTTTGAGTCTTGTATCATGTTCACTGTCTATCTATGAGTGTCTTCTTGTATACACCTCAAATATGCAATTAAGTGCTTCAATGTGATTGATTGTGCTTATTACTTAATCTTATATTGTTGGATTAGTTTGCCTAGGTTTGAGTTCCCTTCCCAAATTCTTGCCAATTCCACATTTGAGTGATGAGCTATCTAGGAGCTGATTAATTTTATTACAGGTCCTCCAAAAGCTCCTTAGGTCACTTTGAGGATTGTGTTCTCCATCTATCAATTATTATCTCTAGAACTTTTTTTGGGACCTAATACAAAGAGAATTCCTTTCTTCATCTTGCTTTTCATTGAGAATTTTAGTTTTCCTTTTTTTATTTTTCTTATATATATTTTTCTTCTGTAATGCTTACTTGTCTATTAACCATACTCCCTTAGGTTGGAAAATCTTGCTCTTTCATATTAGTTCACAGAAACAGAGGTGGAGAAACAAAGAGCACTTTAAATCATCATTAGAGCTCAAGTACTCTTTGCCCTCTGACAGTTAGGATATTGTATACCTCCTATAAGCACCCACCTAAGTGGTTAAATGCTGAAACTTCCCTGTCCTGTCATAGGAAAGAAGAACTCCTAAAGGACTAGGTCAGTACAAACCTCAGTGTCTGTTAAAATTTATATACATGTCCCAGAAATGTAAGATGTCTCTAGATGCTTTAGTCCTATGCTCTTTATGTGTCCCTCAGCTTGATCTTTCCCGTCTTTTTCTATCTCATTATGCTGTGCCTTCCCAGTCTTCTAATGCCGTGCCGTTGGACTTCTTTGGCCTCCCCAGTGCTCAAGCTTCTCAAGATAGGAAATCTTCTTGTTTTCTGGAGTCTTTGTCATTATCTTTTCATGCTCTTGCTCTTTCAAGAATTCATCAAAATCACCTGGGCTCTTCTTTGCCGGTTCTCCCTGGTCCACATTCCAACCCATAAAATCCAATAAAGTCATTGATGCTGGTGTCCCTGGTGAGAGATTCTCATCTGATTCACCTCCTGATGCTTTTACCGCTAAAGCATCAGCATAAATGACATCATCTACCCGATTCAAGATGGCCGCAGCCAGACTTTCTAGTACCCTAGAGTAGCTCTCTAGTACTGCATGTCCCACATCCTGTAATATACAAAGTAAACTTCTTAAATACAAGTTTTCCAGACTTTTACAGATTATATTTGGGATTGGGATCAAATGCTGAATCAAATAAAATCATCTTGGTAATTTACCTTATTGTATTGGATTTTGGATATGTCAAGTGTGGACTGAGGGAGCCCTGGAAAGTGGTGTTTAAGTATGAGTAGCATAATTTCTGCCCTTTCTTCAAAGAGCTCCCTCTTCTCCATGCTTATGGCTGAGCTCCATGATGACTTCCCGTCTTTTTGGATCATCTTCCTCTTCCATATCACGACTGAGGCTTCAATCCTGTTCTTTAAGTCAAGTACTTTGTGCTCTGACGTCAAGTCCATGGATGACAATAGGCCATCCGGATCAAAGTATTCATCTGTGATGCTTTTGTAGATTATGTCACCAAGGCTTGCTCGTCCATTCTGTCAAAGCATGCCCAAAGAAAACTTTAGAAGTTAGTTAAACTTCATATATAGGTTGGCTAAAAGTTGGATCCTGCAACATCGGGTACAATTTGGATTTGGGTTGTTTAATCTCTAAAAGTCAGGTAATAATAGTTGAATCTATGGTTCATTGGTTGATATTGTTGAATCATGTAGTATATGCCTGCAACTAGATCAAAAGAAAGTAACCCACACCTTAGGAAGGGACTCAATGTAGCTTTCTGGGATCTCCATTTCTGAAAGCACTTGGGCATTGATAGCCATGGCTGCTTTCAGAACCTGATTGACAGCATCTTTCTGCTGCTGTATCCATTTTTTCGTCTCAATTGATAGACCACCTGTTGGGATCTTGACAGTGGGTATCCACCACTTGTCGTTGTCTCGGCTTGAGGCTTTTTCAGCGTCATTTGCATCCTTGAAATCAACATACGTAAACTCTGTCTGTCCTCTGAAGTTATCTAAACAGTCCTGTTTTTTCAGAACAATATTTTGCTCATCAGTGAGGGAAAAATAGTGAATTTATGAGCAGGAAATAGGTAAATTAGTTTTGTGGCTTCTTACAAGAAGCATGGCATCGAGCTTCCGCAATGCTGGGATGTTAACTAGGAGGTCGCTTCGTTGTTTTGTCACCATTATCTGTAGAACACATTCCACAATCAAAAACCAAATCCTCCTGTAGGTTTCCTGAATACCCAGATAAAAAAGGTCAAGGTGATATTTGTTACCTCCATGGAGGAACCATCAGCAGCTTGTTGCTTTGAAGGGACAAGCTCGACTATGTGGTCGGTGACTGATAGGAGCCAGTCCACTTCTTTTCTCCACCTTGCTTTCAAATCTTCTGGCATTGGCTCTAATTTCTTTGAATCTCCAAACACAGAAGCTGTAGCATAATCATTTAAGAAAATTAGTGTTGTGTATAGAATTTAAGTGCATATGATTTGCATTTAAGATTGTTGAATCATATTTTTCCTGTTTAGAGGTCTTGTAAATTCATTCATAATGTCGTTCAATTAACATAATTTCTAGGTAATACAGCATATGTAATCAACATACCATATGTATATATCCTGTAATATAGGAATTAAGCCTATGATCGACCCATAATATAAACTGTTTCGCATCATCCAGACATTTAACAGTTGCAATTCAACAGAACTAATTTGTAGACAAAATGTAATGCAGTATATGTTGTTTAATCAAGGATTGTGAACAAAAAAAACATCTTAATTTTAGATGACACGGAAAAGCAAAGCAAGAAATATGAACCTGAAAGATTAGTGATTGCATTTGACAAAGCCAAAGCTGATGAAACTCCTTTGCCACCACCTGACATATCTTCACCCAACAACAACTTTGCAAACCTTTCTTTCATCAATTCAATATCTGAACAAAATAAAACCCAAATTGTCAAAATCTAACAGCATTTTAAACCCCAATTTTCCCACCAAAAAACAGGGAAAAGAATAAAGTCTGACAATTTTTTCATCTGAAATCTGTTTTCTGAAGAAAACAGCAGATATGGTATGTAGAATTTACCTGAGAGTGTCTTTGCTGTATTTTTTACAACACCAACATCTTTGGTAACACGCGAAGCGAATGCTTTGTGATTAGGAGAAGAAATCATAGAAGATCCTATAGGCTGAAAAACTTCCATAGGGCTTTTTGATTCAGTACTGGAATGACTACTGCTATCAGAACTATAGCTTTTTAAATCAAACATTCTTCTGAAATTGAATGACGACGATCTGCTTCGTTCAAATGATCTTACCATTGTTAGAGGATTCCTTATGAATGTTTTACCCCTTCTTAGTTTGATCAAAGAAGGGTAAAACACATGGTTTTCGCGAAAACCAGGTGGCGAAGATCTTTTATTCTCTGACAGATTTGCAAAATTTGCTAATCCCCTTTTGAGGGATTCAATCCTTTAGTTTTTTTGTTTTTGAAAGTTAAACAAATGTAATTAACACAACATTAAAGAGAAGGAATTCGGGTTGAAAACCCGAGGTTTTGGTAGAATTATGAAAAAACAGAAGAATGTTTTTTTTTCCCTCTTTGGTTTCTCGGGTGTGTTTTTTGTTTGTTTGTTTGTTTTTTTGACAACAAACAACGAGTTAAGGGATGTCTTTCCAAAGTTTTTTTTTTTTTTTTAAAAAAAAAATTGTTATTTTTTTAGTTTTTTTTGTTGAAGATGTCTAATTCAGCAAAAGAATGTGGGATGCATGATTTTTAGTGATGTAGAAAGAGAGAAAGAAAAAGAGAAAAAATCTAGGGAGAGAAGTTTGACAGAAAACATAAATTTTATAGAGGTTTATTTTAAGTAAAATCAAGCAATTAATGGTTGGATTTTCACCCAAATCTTCCATTTTAGGGGCAAAATTATCGGTAATACACCAAGTTACAGCTAATTACCTAAATGTTTACTTCCTCTTCTTCAGCCGTCTTCTAATTTGAGGTTAATTAAACATGTTAATTGTCAATTAACGTTGAAGCATCTTTTTTATTTTTTATTTTTATACCATAGTTGTCTTTATTTTTGCAATATAAAAACTATATGTGCAATGTTTTCATCTATGTGCAATGTTTTCATGTACGAGTCAATGGTCAATGTGTGTAGCATATTTTATTGGTATTAAAATTTTAAGTTTTACAATAATCCATCATGTTTGGAAGTTAGCACGAACAAGTCGTTTTTTTTTTTTTTTTTGTTTTTTGACAAATAATCATTCTATGGAATGTGTAAATAATTTTATAAAGTAATACTGTTAATCTTTAGCCTTAATTTGTGGAGTATAGCCAATTTTATCTTGCCACGTGTCGATTTATACTTTATTAACTACATAGAGTACATACTAATACACCACATAGTATACCAACCTCTTGGACTCCGGCCCATCATATAATCTGGTTATGTACGTTGATTTTGGTATATAAAAAATATAAACAAAGTTATACATATAAAATTATCAACTAAATTATTTGACATATCACATATGTGAATGAAAACAATATCCATTAATCAAACGTAGCATGTATCAAACACCGATGCTCTAATCCTAGTGTTTTCTATTCGTATATACTTTAAAACATAACACAATAACACATCACCTAACATTTTGTCACTAAATTGTGCATAAATCCAACACTTACATTTTAAATTGATAGGGGAAAGTAAGGAAGAATGTAAGATCAAACTTGCGAAAAACATTGACATATATAACGTTTTTGTGAATCCAAGTTGATATGGTATAAATTATTGATTTTTTCTTCACATTTTTATAAATGTTATTGAAAACCTTTATAGCACGTAATTACTCGTTTTCTTTTGTTGTACTCTATTACTATTGTCTATTGTTACTTGTTAGTTGTTACTATGAAATTTGAGTTGATACAAGAAAATTGTGAATTAAGTAATAAAGAGAATGAAAAGTTGGGCTTTGAAGATGAGTGTAAGAGAAAGAATAAAGCAATAGAAAAGGGTGAAAATAAATGTGTAAATATTATGATATATGGGGATAATATAATGAAATTTGCTTACTCAAAATAGAGTAAAGTAAAATTGAGCCTATCAAATAAAAAAATAATTAAAAAAAACTGTAAAACAAAATATGGATACATATTTCAAAAACGGATGTTGCACTAATACTATGTAGTCTTTTACTATGTACTTTTTCCATGGCTCCATTCTTATTTGTTTGTACCATATGACTCATAAATCTCACACATAAAGTGCGTTTATAGCACAAATTAAAAGTGATGGAGGGAGTATTTATTTTTGCTAAATTACTTTTGATGGCAAAATATGTACAAATCTGTTCACCTCACATGACCAGGCACGGCCCAATTGCCTTCGGCCGGCAAAATTGCCGAGTCAGTTGGACTTCATAAGACAGCCCACCTCACTTGCAATCCAAACCAACCATTTATTTGTCTTTAACTTTTACTTCATATTATAAAATTTCATGAAAAAATATTATTAAAAAATATATTGCTGTCTTGAATATGCATTGTATTCGTTTGAGTGTAAAATTGATATAGCCGGCCAATTATTAGTGAATTGAAAATCATTTGTGCACGTAGGGGAAAAGCTAAAGGTATCATGCATGATTCATGAAATATTGTAATTAGTAAAGCATGCATATTGACTAGCACTATACAAGTATTATGAAGTACACTTGTAAGATTACAAGTACTTGATGATGACACACTAAACTTTAAAGTCAAATTGCAACAATTATTCTATTTTGGAAGATTTTTTTATTTTTTTAAAAAATAAAAAAATAATAAAAATAAACCATGAAGAAAGTCTTGTATCCTTAAAGCTATATAAAAGGAAGCGAAATAAAAAACATTAATTTTTTATTTATTTTTTTTGAATGATGAATTGTACCCTAGCTCGCTCTTAGTTTCTTGCCCTCTACCACAGTTCATAGTGAAAAAGGATACATATTAAGAAGATGTATGTTTACAACTTGCATTGAGGAAACTTGCATGTTTACAACTTGCATTGAGGAAATTATAAATAAATCTAAATCACTAAAGAGAACATATTGACGAAGAAGATGAACAAATGGTGGTTTATTTTGGAAAAAAGAAAATAACAAAATAATAAACGTTGAGAGAATAAATTGGGTTGGAGTAATAGGTCAAGAATTGTTGGGCTAAACAAATATGTGTAAAAACAGGTCAGGCCTAAAAATTGCCTAAAAAGAAAAGTCGGACCAACAAACCCGCCGGACTGACGAAACTATTGGTTAGCTTTAACTAACCCAATAGTTTATGACCACTAAAGCCAGTTGCTAATGTTTATCAATCTCAGAAAACAAACTCAAAAAATTGAAGCATAAATCAAGATCGAAATCCTTAGTTGGCATGTTCCGTACATGTGTAAGTAATGTTATTTCTTCTTCTTTATTAATAAAACATTGTTATTTATGCCCCTTAATTCAAAGTCAAAACTAACTATTATATTTATTTTTTCTTATATACATTAATACATAAATATACGTTGAAAGTCCGTTCGCTAATCTTACATTGTAATATTTGTCTTAGTACTTCTACTATAATTTATTGAAGTTTGTAAAGTACTAGCACGAATGAAATCACCTAATTCGATCTGTCATTTATGCATGTGCTAATAAATGTCATTGATTTAATTTTTGTAGTTGCTGTATTCTCCATGTATATCTTTAAATTATCAAATTTTGATTATTTTTAATGATACATATATACATAATCATAGATATTAAAAATTAAAGTTAATACATATATAAACAGTGTAAAAAGTTAAATCAATGCATCATTAAAAATTAAAATTAATTTCAACTACATATAAATTTAAATTTCTCGTATATTGATATAATATATATAAAAGGTTCGATTATTCGTCGTCCTAGACATGATTTCTCTATTCTTGTTATAATTGTCTAACGTACTTGGACTGTGGAAGTTTGCTCACATAGTACAAGCACGAAATCACCTAACATCCTTCCTATGTACACAATTCGATTTAATTATAATTGTTAATGTATTATATATGCATGTGACATTAATCACACAATTATCATGTAAATATGTAATCATGTTACTCTATCTCTGGTCCACGTATTGATGAAGTAAATACACGCTCAAACCGACCATAATTCTAATTATTAGACCATGAAGTGAGTAGTTTTTTATACATGTATAAATTAAATTTGACGGTGCATGAAACACTTAATTAAGCTTATTGTGCCTACATCTTAAAGAGGACGTACCAAATGAAATGGGGTTGAAAATTCTTTGCCCTAACAATGTTTCTCGGCCCTGAAGTAATGACCATGGTAATACTAATAACTGTTAACCACCGTCTTGAAAGCAAAATACGGCAATTTATGTTATATGTAGCCCTAAGCGCTATATATAATCATTAAATATACTGTTGGAAATTGTATAAAATTAGTAATTCATGACAAAACACGCGTAAATCAGTGTAATTAGTGTTTATATTTTATAATTTCTTAACTTTTTACGATTTTCAAGTGTAAATTTAATGCTTATATGTAGCCCTAATTAAGGGTTATGTATAGCATTTTCCTTTATTTATTTATTTGTTTTTACCACAAACCACAACAATATTATTAATGAGAAAAAGAGATTAAGGATCATCAAGAGCAACAAGCTCAGCAATTACTATATGTACTTTCTTAGTTTCAAAATAGATAATGCAAGATATTCACAATTTCAAGTTTAATTAATAACATGAGCGGGTTAGTTAGTTGTTAATTACTCTTATAATCTTATTGAAAAAAAATATATATGAATATAGTGAAGACATGCTTAAGAAAATATATTCTTCGTAAAAATACAAAGTTGAATTATGTGTGTGCTTTATATAGTGAAGCTAAGGGAGTTGGGACTATAAGATAAAACTCATTATTAAGATATACATAGAATAAGAGATAGCTCCTGTTGTTAAAATTTTCCTCCCGATTTCATAAGATTCAGGAACTGATTCTCATCACTTGCCTTTGTGGAACTCTAAAAAAAATTATTAAGATAATTACTCTTTTTTTTTCTTCTCGCAAAGACAAAGGCCATCTTACTCGCTCAATGCATATAAAGTCATTTTGACTTTATGTCAATACGTAAAAGTTCATATTGATTCAAATTGGTTAATACAAGTTCTTATAAATTTTAAGAAATAAGTATTTTATAGTTTAGACACTAAACAAATTCAACTGTTTTTAAAAGCCTAGATTAGTCTATCTAAAATTAATAAAACCAATTCTGTTCTCCAAAAAAAAAAAAAAAAAAAATCAACTTGTAACCGTTTACAAGGCCCATTAATGAGTACATACAACATTATTTTGATGGTCCATTACTAAAGGATTTTTACTTTTTTAGTGTTTAGGCTTTAATATATTGTATGATGTTACATTGCTATTAGATATTTAGATGTGAAAAATAAGTTTCTTTGCAAGGAAATCTAGTTGCACCGGCCTTATTTCTCAAATTTTTAGTCATTTTCTAGCTACATTGCCCATTATAATTGCTTACCTAACAATATTGTGTGAACAACTACTTGGATACGCTCAACGCATGTCGATATGGGCTACAATAATATGTTGCATTAGTGAATTAGTCTTCGGTCTTTTTTTTTCGGTCTTCATTCCTTGCCAATCAATAAATTTTTTCGCGTGAGAGGGTACGCAAGTTACTATTATTTATGAAGTACTAAAATTATAAAAATATTTCTTCCGTTTTTCAGTTATATGTCATTTCTAAAATAAAAGTTTTAAATTAGTTACATCACTTACATTTTAACTAATAAATTTTTTCTATCTCTCTTATGACATGGACCTATTTATTAGTGATGCAAAAAAAAATAAAAATTATGGAGGAAGTATAATAATAATAAAAAAAAAAGTATATATGATTGAGAGCGTGGAATCTAGAATTCATTTTTATATACTTGAATTCATTTCTACACATAATTGAGTCTTTGTTTGATTTCTTGTTCCCATTCCTCAATTTATGTTAAGTTCTTTAACTAAACTAATTAAGAATATAGCTAGGTTGGATTGGAGCTTTGGATTCTTTTTTAATTGAGTAAACATTTGTGTTAATTTAACTTAACTTGAAATATTTTGTTAAAACTAATTTAAATAAGTTGGGGAATAAACAATAAAATGTATATTGCCACTAATTCACAAGACTAGTTAAGATTATTGTATCAGCGTGAGCCGTGACGTATACATTGAGTGTAATAAGGAATTGAATACTAAAATAAAAGTTGAGTATGTATAGCAAAATAAATTTTATATGTTTATATATTTTAGTTTTTTTAATGAAGAAAGTAGTAAAGTTGGAAAACTATCATTAGTTAATACATATCTGGTCCCCTTAATTGTGGGGTTTAATTTGTGAAAACTTCCATTTTATATTTGTATAGGAATATTTTCCATTGTCTTTATTCACTACAATGGACAAATGAAAGATAAATACATTGCATGCACCACGTACGTTTGCATCTGCCTAAGAGTACGCTAGGACAAATATACTAACTCATAAGTCAACAAAAATTTGGATGATCTATCAAGCCAAATTTTGTAATTGTGAGAATGTACGTACTTTTTCGAAATAAATACATGTGTCTATGTCGAAAATATGATTATTATTTTAAATTTATTATGTAACTAATCCGTATACAATTTGATTATCAAATTGATCTTTGGATATAGACCTTCTACTTTGGCATAAGTGTAGCAAAACGTTAGTTATTGAATTATAAGTTAAAATTCATTAATTATATTCTTCGCTTTACAATTGGCAACCAAAAAAAAAAAAAAATCAATTGATGTGAGTCCAAAACTAGCCATCACACGGTCACGCCCATTTGTATGTACTAATGATTTCTAACGTATTCACGAAGCAAAGTACAAAAAAACAGTCCATAAAAATGGTATAACTTACATATAAAAATAACAACAATATATTTTGATTTAATGACTTTTAATTAAAGGGGAATGCTATACATAGCCCTTAGTGCTATATATAAGCATTGAATTTACTCTTGGAAAATGTATAAAGTTAGGAATTCATGACAAAAACACGCGCAAATCGGTGTAATTAGTGTGTTTTTGTCATGATTTTCTAAATTTAAACAATTTTCAAGAGTAAATTAAATGCTTATATGTAGCCCTTAGGGCTATGTATAGCATTTTCCTTAATTAAATTGAAATGTCAACTTCTTTATCTATCAAGCTCTCAAAAAATAAATTTCAACCCTACATTTATTTAACAAATTATCACCAACGGGAAAAAAGGGTACTACAAGTGGTGCCAAATTAAATTGCATGCATTTATTATAAGCACCAAAACTATAAGTAAAAAATTTAATCCTAACCGTTATACAACTGCAAGTGTCCTGTGACAGTATTCATTTACTCCATTGTTTTTAAACTAGGTTTAAATTCTAGCAATGCTTTAACTACTGTCTGAAAAATTACCAATTACGTTAGTACTAGTAACACTAATTAATATGGAATAATTAATCCTAATAAATTATTTATAGGATTTATTGAAATAATAATGTTAATTGGATCAGAACAATAAAACTTTAGTATAAAGTACTCAAACATGTACATACTAACTTTAATTTTAGTGTTTCGGTTAGATTTTATATCTATTAGATTCTTCTTTAGTTACTTTAATGTCATCTAGCGGTTCTAGCCTTTATTAGTGTTTCATAAGTGGCTTTTTTCTTAGCTGAAAAGTTGAATTTTAATTTAGTCAAAAATTAAAAGTTATGGCTAACTTTAGCATGTTGGATGTCGAATTGTTTTATCTATATAAATATTATCTTTTATTTCTTTTATAAATAATGAGTAGTTTAGTTATTAATTACAAAATACCTTTTGTATTTTGTACAAATTAAAAACCATAATATATAGTTGATATTACCGGTAATGCTTTCAACAAGCAATTAACACAATCAATATGAATAGCTCAAACAATTAAGTCAAGTGAAATAATCAACCAATCAACGAGCACCAATTATCAAGTACGTACCCTTATACATCTATGCATGTTATGATAAGTACTCGTAGAAATACATACCAAATAATTACTACTACAAATAACAGCTACCAGTAACTAGCTAGTCGATCTATTACAACTAGCTAGCTATCTTTTCTTCTATTTATTTTTGAAATTATGGCTTCATTCTAACAACAAAATCTGGTTACATATTTCATAGCTATATGTCTCGAAACTGCCAAGATTAACCCATGGACCACGCTACCAAGAATTTGTTGAGCATGAGCCTCATCATGGACCACATTGCCAAGTATCTAATGAAATAAATCACTGCTTTAGGAGCATCGGACTCAAAACTGTCAAAATTATATCAAGTTACTAAAATTAGATTAATAGAATTCTTGATTTTCTTTCAATTCAAAAAGTTGTCTATCCAATCCTATGTATTATCACTTTATCAGGTACTCCTATTATGATATATTGTTAGTATATTGTATTTTAAATTTAAACAAGCTACTTTTATTTTAGGCAAAAGAAACCGAACACCCCAATCTTCCATATGTGAATTATATGTGTAGTAGTCTAGTAGAGCCTACAACCCTATTTATTAATTACCCTATAAAATTCATATAATTTTGAAATGTTTCTAGAGATTGCACTATATAGGATATGATAATAATAATAATAATAATAATTTGGAATGGAACATCAATCATTATCTAGCACTTAAACATAGTATTGTTTTTTTTTTCTTTTCATTGGGCGACCTTATCATAACTTTAAAAAAAAAAACTAGCTTAAATTTGATTAAATTGGACCGAGTATAGATTACAGACAAAAGCAATCTAAAATATACACTAAGCCAAATAAACTTTCTCTTATAGGAGTATGTAGGGTTTCTTAACATTTCTTTTAATTACCTTAAAAACTCTCCGCAAATTGAAACCCCAATGCATTTGGATCACAAGGGTTTCAAGACCTAACGAATACCAACTCTTAATGAATCTTTTAACACCTGATCTATGCACCAGGGTGCATCATGCGCATGGTGCACCCGATTAAACAAAAAAAGTTGGAAAGAATAAAATAAAGATCTTGGAAAAAGAACACACAGGTGTTAGAAAAAAACACATAGATGATGACCTTAAAATACACTCTACCAGTCATATTTTTAAAATAAAAATAAACTCAAACATGTAATATTAGATTGACCATATTAGCCGCTAAATTAGCTTAAAATACACTAAGGGCCTGTTCTCTTATGTTGAAATTCAGTTCAGTTCAGTTCAGTTCAGCTCAGCTCAGCTCTGTTCAGCTCAGCTTAGTTCTGTTCAGCTCAGTTCTGTTCAGTTCAGTTCAGCTCCTAATTTCCTTCTTTTATAAAATATTCATTTTAGTTTAGTTCAGTTCAGCTCAATTCAGTTCAGCTCAGTTCAGTTCAGTTCAATTTAGTTAATGAGAACAGATCCTAAGTCAACTCAACGCAAACTCAATTCTCCATACATGACAAACGTCTAGACTCCGGACCACCCACAAGGGAATGCAATCGACTCAAGAGTCAAGATAAAATTTGAGTACAATAAAGCCATGAGCTTAAACTTTAAGCAACCTCTAGTTCACCTCATATTCTGTACAATTGCATGGGTGTCAGTTATCACCATTGAAGCCTCTTTTGTTTTATTTTCTTCCCCTCTTTTTCTTCTCCAATCACTTGTTGAAATTCTTGCTAAACCTGGATTTATTTCCCTCTCAAACAGTTTTAATCATACATAATCTATCTTTTAATTCACTACTATTTAATTTTTTTTATGTTTCCTGACCCACAAACGACAAGTTATATGCAACCTTCCCTTTATTTTATAATCATACTCAAATAATTATTCATTAATTTTCCCAACTTTATTGTTAAAAAGATTTTCCTGTCCCTCTCTCAATCTCACATTATTTTTCTTCTACATTTAATTTTCTTTATAATTTAATAATTTAATTTCACTAGACAAAAACCCCACCAAATCTAACTCTTCATATTCTTATTCTTCTTCTTCCATACTTCTCTGTAACATTTTTTTTAATAATTTATTTTATTTTTTAATTGTTTTTTATCTTCATTGAATTTTCTGGGTTGGTTGTTAGACACCCTTTGAAGTCAAATTTGGATATAATTTTTATTAGTCCTTCTTCTGTGGATCTCATTCACTACTACTCTCTCTAATAGTTTTACAGGTGAGCATTGTCAGAAAACTTAAAAACTCTGCTTCCTTTTTCTTTTTTGGCCTAAAATTTGATTTTTATTATCATTTCTAAATTTTGGGTTTTTGGGTAGATGCTAAAATTTTAGGAGAGAATTGGGTTTGATCAATGTAAAAAAAACAAAAAGCGAGTCTTGAGGTTACCTCACTCGCTAACCCAGAGCCTATTAGATTCCGACTAATCCAAATTCGAGTTGGGCCAGGCCCTTATTGGGATGAAAGCTCTCCCAACAAAATGCAGAGAGATTGCAGTTGAGAATTGAGAGTGAAGAAGAAAGAAAGAAAGAAATTACTCACTCAAGTAGTCAAGTGGAGGTAGTTACTACTCTAGTACTTTTTTTTTGAAGACATACTACTCTAGTACTTACTAGTTCTTAAAAGTTCCTTTCTTAGCATCTTATCTTAAGAAAAAAAAATTAATAAAGATCTCATTTTTCCTTAATTTTCTCTGATTTTTGTAGTAAATTATGATTTTAATTGAATATTTGATGCACAATTTTCATCTAACAGGGTAATCACTCTTTTTTTTTTTTTTTTTTTTTTCAGTTGACAGTTGGTGAAGGAGTATTAAAATGGTGTAATCAATGTTGACAATCTTTGAATAATTTGGTTCAATTATAAGTTGCAAATGTAAGGCTTTTTAACTTTTTCCATTTTTGTGAATTTTGGTTTTTGAAATTTAATTTACTCACTTAATTTTGTATATTTTTGGTTTGAAAAATTGGTTGGCGGGGTTGAAGAATATGCCTCAAGACAAAAGAAGATCATCAATTAGTTATAGATCATTTGTAACATGTGATGATCCAAAAGGTGTTGAATGTGGGGTAATTAGAAAATCAAAGATCAATAATAATTCTCAAAAAAAGGAGCAAGATTGTAGTAATAAGGTTGAAGCTGACAGAAAGCAAAGAAATCAAAATACATCTCTAGTTGTTGCTTCTGTTATTAAGGAAGAGAGAGATAAAAAGGAGATGGGGGTTAGAGGGATCACACGGGCTGAACTCGAAAATCCGGTATCTTTTCAGCTACTAGAGGTATCTAAAGAGACTGAGAAGTTGAATCATGTGATCAATTCTTGGTCTAGTAGTAGTGGTAGTAGTTATGACAAGTTATTGAGGAAGAAACAAAATGATAGTGTTGCCAAAGATTTGTTGAGAGGAGCTCTTGATCTTCAAGAGTCCTTAGTCATGCTTGGGAAGCTGCAGGAGGCTTCGAGTTATATGTTGGGATTGTCGCGAAAGCAGAAGCAAAAACTTGATGAAGGAGCGTTTGATGTAATGGTTAGTGGGGTGAGGGGAAATTCGAGGCCTGCAATGCATCATGTAGATGGTTATCCTAGGAAATCGGTTGATGAGATGAGGAATGTTGTTAGAGATAGTCTTCTTAGGCAGAATATGATATCAAATCCTATATTTGAGGAGCATTATGATCATAGAAAGATGTCTATGGCTTCTCCTGATATGTTGCCTTCTACTAGTTCGAGTACTCAATCATCAATGATTTATTCGAGTAATTTTGTTCCCTCTGATTCTTCTGTCTCATCATCAACAGCTTCTCGGAGGAAAAATGGAAAAGACTCGAATTTGATTGTCAGACTAATGGGTTTAGAATCATTCCCTTCGAGTCCTAGGAAACACACTGAGAGGGAGAAATTACTGAACTTGGCAAAGCCTACGTACGAAATTGATTCACCAAGGGCAAAGAGGCCTCAATTTGGTGCTCAAGAGGTGGGTTTGAAACAAAGAAGTGTTGAAGAAATACTAGAGAGATTAAAATTTAAGGGGCTTCTTAAAAATAATTCTGTGGATGGCCTGACAATTCATTCCTCGGAGTCTGAAAATTACTCCTCGAATAATAGTTGGGTTGATGAAAGACCGCCTATTGTTGTCATGAAACCTATGCGCTATCCCTGTCTAGATCTTGATGAGCCTTATAAGACAAAGTTTTGGGGAGAAAGAGATGTGAAACCAAGATGCAGTAGAGGATCTGCTCAAGAAATTGTCAGAAATGAAGCTGTAAACTACAGTGAGAAGAATGAAGTAGCACGAGTTGATTGTGAAGAAAAGGCCAAGTCTGTAAAGAAGGTTGCATCTGCTAAGCTTAAAGGTTCTGTCAATGTGAAGCCAAAGGCACAGAAAAAGCAAACAGAAGTCAAAAAAGCAACTGAAGTTGAGAAGGTGACTCCAACTAGAAGGAAAGTTGAAGAGAAGAAAGATGCAAGATCGAGTGATCAGTTGAATTCACGAGATCAGGAAAGGTTTTCCACAGCAAAGATTACAAGGCAAAAGGATGGAAAATCTATCTCCAAAAACCAGTCTTCTAATCAACAGAACACTACTTCCACTTCAATGTTAGATCAAAGGAAACGCAGAACATCAGAACGAAAAAAGAACAGACAACCAGCCTTAGAAGTGAGTTCCCTTAGCTGGAAACTGTAATCCTTGGTCTCTTTCAGTTTATAACCTGTCACAAAATATGAGTAACATGAGTTTCTTATGATGCAGCAGGAAGAAAAGAGGATTTGCAAAGGTGAAAAGAAGAGAAGCACTGTCTTCTACAAAGAGGATATTGATTCAGCTGGTGACCGCACTTCTGTTTTCCCTGCAGTCAACAGTTTTACTGGTAATAACAATGACAACGAAAGGTGTCAAAGTCAGATCAGAGGTTAGCTTACACCTTCATTTCTAAATGTATTGATCTTTCTTCTGAAGTTCTGATACACTCGAGTTTTTATTCTCTACTTTATCGTATGATCATGAGATCATCTCTCGTAAAGTAAACATATATTGCTGTTAAAATTTCTTTTCTGTGATATTATATGCACACAGATCCAGAGTTTACTACTATACTGCTTTTTGAATTGTGCTACGTCAAAATTTTGGTGATAGTTTGTGGGTGATGCAAGATCTGTGTTTATTGAGAAACCATTTTTTAGTTTTGCTTTATTTTTTTTATTGCAGATTATGATTTTGACAGTCAGATTAAGCTGTTAGATACTCCAGACCGATATTCATGTCTTCCAAATGACAAGAATATTTCTCATTATGATGACAACCAAAGCTCTTATTCTGAAATTACATCAGTGTCTACTAGCGAATATTGCAATGTGGATCAGCTCAGTGAGGCACAGAGTACTCTTCATGAAGTTACCTTGATTACTACCCATGAAAACGGTATTGCAGTTCATCATGAAACTAATCAAGAAGGAACTAAAAGCCTCAAAAATAGCGTCGAATCAACAGATAACAAGGCCTTGAGACCGTGTCTTACTCCCAGAATGAAGCTAAAAGCTTTGCTTCTAAACAACTCATCGTTTGTGAGCCACATTGAGGAGCTGTTCAATATTCAAGTCAATCCTGAATCAGTTCCTTGCATGATAGATGACAATGATCAAGATTCAGAAAGTTCTCAGATACTGGTAGATTGTGCTAACGAACTTTTAGAACTTAAAAGCTCGCAGTTTTTACAAACATGCCTGCCTCTTCCGCGCATCTATACAACAAAATTACAAAGTTATTTCTCCTTGGATTGGCTGTTGGAGGAAGTATGCAATGGCATTGAGAGCTTAAGATTCTATTCAAGGCCGGTAAATGATGAGTTTCCCTTCGACGATCTCTATGTTATACTAGATCGAGATTTGGAGTTCAAGAGCATAACATGGGAAGTTGGTTGGAAGAGTATGTTTACTCTAAATGAAGTTGAACAAGTTATAGGTGAGGTTGACAAGTTTATCTTAGGCAATTTGATTCAGGAGGTTGTTTCAGATTTTATGCTATAGTATAGTACTACATCCTACATGTTTTTTTGTTTTTTTTAATTAATTTTGCAGCATTTATGAAATTTAATAGAAGGTATATGCTAGAATTTTGTAAATAAGCATCATATTGTTGATACAACAGGTGGTAGGCCAAATACAGGTGACTTAATCCAGAAAAATTTCCTTCAGATGGAGAAGAAATTAAGGTTACCCCACCTAAATAATTAGTGAATGATTTCCTATAATTCATTACTTTGTTTAATGTTCTTATTTCAGGAGAAAAATAGTAAACATCTCTTGGTATGAAGCTGTTGGATTTGAACATTAGTAAGCATTAAACATCTGAAATTGTGTTATTCTGGTCAGATTATTGTATTACTATTATGAAAATTGTTTAAACAAACAAAGTATTTGACATGTTTTCAAAGTTTCAAATTCACAAGTCTTTACAACTTTCAAATTCGGAATGAAATAAGTTTATATAAGTTCAAACAAAATAAATCGGAGTAATTAGCTGGTTTATTAGTGTCACATTTTTGTTGTTCGGAATAGGAGCTAAGTAGATATGGCCAAAGGGAGGACAACCCAAGGCCCAATATGGTGGATGTTCTTGATTTGTGTGGTTTTAACAATTGGATTATACTTAGTTAATGGGCCTTGGCTAGTTCAATGTATGTGGGCCTATACAGTGAAACATAATGTTAACTGCTAAGAGCCCAATTCAAGTATTAGAGGCACAAATCCACTATGTAGCTGAAGAACTAGAATTGAGAAAAATAAATGGGTATAAGCTAAAAAAAAGCAAGTGATAACATAATTATTGTATATCATAGTCAATATATCATAGACAATAATGTGGGCCTATACAGTGAAACATAATGTAGCTTTATTACTTGTATTTCAGTACTCAAATAAATGGGTATAAGCTAAAAAAAAGCAAGTGATAACAAGTGAGTTAATTTACCTTATTAAAATATTCATTTTATATTTTACGTTGTAACTGATTGAATCAAATGATTGTGCCACTCTAACGAGTTTAAACATCACTTATTATATCTTATCGAAACTTTATTATGACTAGAAGTTATATTCGATATAATACAGAGTATTAGTTTTCTCGTAAGCAGTTTTTTAAGGGTGATAAGATTGTTGATTTTTTCAAAGTTTGAAATATATTTGCCCCTAATATTGCTCCAAAATACTTGATACTATTCAAAATTAGAGCTATATGTTTTGACTTAATAGTCAATATAACAAAGCAAACTATGTCCGATCCTTGACCATTATTGTGGTTGTGGTCTTGTGCATACCATCAATTAGTGCCGCCTCCTCAAGTTGTCAGTATATCATGACAACTCAGCACATTCCAATTGAATAATTGCTCTTATTTGCTTGGTCAAAACAGGTGGAGTTTGGAAGACATAATTTCCATTTTAAATCTTCATTTCATTATTCCTCGAAGGATTTATTATTCATCGCAATAAAATTACTCAAATTCAAGATGATAATAACCGATATTTAAGCTATTATGATGTATAAACAGCTATTGTAAAGTGTGTCCAAGTAAACAAATTTGTCCAATATGAAAAATATGACAATCAAGAACAAACAAGGTTGTGAATTTCTCTCCTATTCACTTAATATACAAAGATATTTGCTAAGTCTCCCAATATCATTTACCGTGTTAAAAAAACGGATAATAGGGGTGTTTGGCAATTGGCTTTTTGCTTGGATTTTAGCTTTGGGTTTTTAGTTTGGTCAAATAGCAAAATAAAATAAAATATATTTGGTTTTGGGCTTTTGGTTGCCAATATAAGTAGCTTTTTCTTATGGTTTTGCTTTGTTAGTCCATTTTATTACTAATAAACAGCTAATAGTCACAACTAATTTTGTCAAATACTTTTGTAAACAACTGGCTTAAACAACTAATCCATACAATTAATACTTCCAACTGGTCAACACAAATCAATTAGAAGCCAATCGTCAATTGCCAAACAACCCCAATAACCAAGTAGCCCCTAACTGTCCGAGTAGCCCTTAACCGACTAACCCGACATATGTGGTCAGCCATATGTGGTCAGCCATACGTGGAAATTTGTGTATCATACTGTAAATCATACCTTTACCTCATACTTCCTCTGTTTTTTTTATATAGTTGCAACACTTCTCTTTTCACGCTTGCCACTGCACGTTTTCAATCGTTTATATCTTTAATTACCAATATGTAAAAGTTATAAACATTTGATATTAGTATTGTATAAATCAATACGAATCTAACAAAATCCAACATGACTATATTTTTACTTAAGCATAAATCGTTAAAAGCTAGTTAAAGTGAAATAAGTAAATAGTGTAAAAGTCAAACGGTTGCAACTACTTCAGAGGAAAAAAAAAACAAAAAAAAAAACAGAAGTATGACAAACAAAAAGAAATGAATGAAAGGGATATATTGATAATTAGATATAGCCATATAGATTAGGCAACATAGCCACACAAGACACAAATCAAATTTTATAAATTTGTTTTTCTTAAAAAAAAAAAAAAAAAAAAAAAAAAAAAAAAAAAGGAAAAGCGACAAGAAGATTAGGAAGGAACTGATTTGCTAATTTGAAGCACCATCTTTCCCAATTTTCTCTCTCATCAAAAAAAGCAACTGAGTCAATTCTTTGAAGAACTCCAGCTTGATTGAGGTGGGGGCAGTTGCAGAGTTCTGCACACAAAATCGAAATTAGTGATGGGAGATGACAAATCTACCATGGGTAATTCCAGTAGAGAAAGAGATCGGGAACTCCTCATTCCAGTTGCTGATCCTTCCGGCAATCATGATGATTCTGCTAAACCTAGCCCTTCTGTTTCATCTTCCCATACTGGTCGAGAGGTCATTCTTTCTCTCTCCTTTTGGTCCGATCTATCTGGGTTTTTCTTCAATTTTTATGGGTTTTTCTTCAATTTTTATGGGGTTCTTTCAATTTGTTGTTTACCCTTGAAGATTTTGGTATATTTGGGCTTTTTTTTTTAGGTTTTAATTAGTGGGTTCAGCTTTTTTAAAGCTTGGGATTGATTATTGTTGTATTTCTGCTGAATTTTGTTGATTTGGGAATGTTAAGATATATGGATTTGATCATCATAATAGTGTGATATAGGAAGGATTTTATATTTGGGAATAGATTATGATCTGGTTGTGCTTTTTAATTTTCTATCTTTGTTTGATTGCTTGAAATATTGAATTATTGTTCTGGTATAAGATAGTATATGGGTTGAAGTTGAATTCAATAGCTCAAGGATTTGTTAATCTTCTATCCTCTCATTGCAATGGGTATATCTTGATTTGTACTCATGGAAGCTAGTGCAATTGATAAAATGAGCAATTGTTTTTGTGAGTGTCATTCGTTAGAGAGGCACTTAGTGTTGTACAATATAAGGGAAGTGTTGTATTGGACCTATTGGTCAAAACCTGAGTTTGAATTTTGGTGCACCTTGAAGTGTGGTAATTTCATCTCCATGTAGTGTTAGTTGTTAAAGTGGTGCAGTGGTAAATTACGTTGGGAAATGTTGGCTTAGCTCAATCCTTAGTTCAAATTTGTGTGCACCTTGAACCGTGGTGGTTTCAATGTTTCGTCAGCGTGTAGGTTCGTTTAGCTGTTCTTAACCCTCATGGTGACTTTGTTAGCCAAGCTTTGCCATTTACTTTCTTGGATTTGAATAAGAGCTACCTATGGGAAATGTACTCCAATTCTTATTCCAATTCTTCCACTAATTGACTACCACTGCCATTCATTAGAGCTATGGAGATTGCTCTCTTTATCCCTCCAATTCCTTTGGCAGTGATCACTGAAACCAAATCAGCACGGTTATAAATTGCTTTTGATAAAGGTATATCATTGGAAGTGTTTGGAGAGCAAAGGGAAATAAAGGGACAAAGAGCATTAGATAATAGATTATTTTTTTCAAAGTTGATAATGATTTTGTTGATGGGTGTTCCTTTTTAGTTTCCTTTCTCTGTGTTTAAGACATATTACACAAGGGATAAGTATAGAAAGTGATTTACAAGGTGCCTAGACTATCTAATAGCTTAGCTTATTGGTATTAATGAACACTAGCCACCTATAGCCATCTTTCCCAACTCTAATAAAGTCTAATTGTTTCAAATTTAGAACTTTGTTTTTGCTTAGAAATATTGTTGTATAACAACTGTAAGTCTGTAATTGACGGGTTTGAGAGTAGAAAAAGTGTTTTGGTTCCTCACAATCATGGTAATGCATATCTCAGAGTTACATATACACACACACACCAGGAGATCAACGACGACCATGACTTTTGTCTATATTAGAAAAAAGAAAAAAAGGATGGCTATGACCTAGTACTTGGTGTTGGAAGTTGTTTATTGTTGTAAGCCCGAGTGACAAGCATTTGGTGGTTTCATGTTGAGTTGTAATATTTGGGATAAGGTGACTGTAGGAAATAGTGAGTTACTCTCTAGTACAGAAGGTGCTGCTTTAATTGCAATTGTGATAATATCACTAATTTATTAATTACTTCATAGTAGAATGTTTTGGTTTCCCGTTTCGGGGGTTAAGTTTATCACAGGTCTGTCTTTCCTTAATGATAATGAAGTAGCTATTGAACTTGGTGAATAGAATTGGTCTGCTGATGTAACCTTTTTACCTTTTTGTTGCCTTCTGTTTGATTCAATATGGTCACCTGATCTTCTTTTGCTCTTGTATAATTAATATCGTTTGTATTTTAACTCCACAGACTTTTTCTAAAATAATCAGAAGTTGGGCTTCAAAGAAGTTTATGACTGGATGGTAAGTTATGTTTTCCTTTGTCTCAAAAGTACTTGTATACTCTGCTGGAGCGAAGTTTCCAAAGTCTATTCCTTGTTCTATCTTTTATGTTAGACTTTTTTTTTAGTTATAACTGACCTTAATATTATATAACTCAACACCAAGACTATTCTTTTGACAAAACCTCTATTTCTTGATGGATACCTATAGCTTTTAGGTTCACGGCTACTTTCCAAGCCTTTATTCTTGATTGTGCTCTGTTTACCATTTCATTGGTATGTATATTCCACTCCTATTAGTTTGTAAAGGTTAAGAAATGGAGTATTGATCTTGTGCGATTTGAAGATTCTGCATGAATATAGAGTTGAAAATGAAGGTGCTTTGTACAAATGTTAAAAGACAGATACATTGGTTTAGGACTCTGGAACTTCATGCTTCTGAAACCTTGGGAGAGTTAAAAGTGTCTGCTTTAACATAGATTGATATCTGAGAGAAGAGACAGACATAGGACTTACTAAGTTACTAGAATGTTCTGTACTAGAAAATTCTGAAGAATATTGAATAAGAGGCTTCTGTAGACTGTGTAACATCTCGAGAGAAAAAAT